CTCCCTCACAGGGTGCACCATGAGCTCAAAGGAAAAGCAGCCCCAAGAGGGAGGGCAGCCCCTTCCTGTTTGCAGGAATTAATTAAGGAATTTTGCAGCCTGAGGCCAGGACTGGGACATCATGGGAGAGTGGGAGCTACAAGTGTTCACAAGCTGTGTTGAGCTCAGAACTCTCCATGCCAAAATCCTTAAGAGGTTGGAAAAGAGCTCCAAAATCAAGTCCAACCATTACCCCAACACTGTTCACCACAAGCCCTGTCCCCAAGTGCCACATCCACGCATTTTCTGAGTGCTTCCAGGGATGGGGATTCCACCACTGCTCTGGGCAGCCTCTTCTAATGCCTGAGCACCCTTTCCATGAGGAAATTATTTCTGATATCTGGAGCCACTTTTGGTATTCCAAACCCTTCCCCAGCTCTGTTCCCTTCCCTGGACACACTCGTCAGTGTTTCTTGTGCTGAGGGCTCCAACACTGCAGACAGAATTCCAGGTGCAAAGTCAGAGTATCCCTGGGATAAGGACATCACTTTCCCCGGGCTCCATCCCATTCTTGCACGGACAGATGTGGCTGGCACTGTGGTCACAGGAGCAATGGGACACTGGCAAGCAGCTTGGTGACCTTATCATCTGTACCACTCTCTGAAGGGTAGCTGGAGTCTGCCACATTCCTATTTTCTAGAAAAATCCCTTTGCCCAGGATTTTTCTCCTGGGAAGCTGAAAAGCCTCAGAGAAAAGGAAAACAATTCTTATCTCATTTGCTTCTCCTGTGTTGTGCTCATGTGGAATTTGTTTGGAGATTGTTTACCCACAGGTGATTGTTTCATTGGATTCTGCTGTGAGTTGTTTTGACTCAATGGCCAATGAGGGCCAAGCTCTGTTGGAACTCAGGAGAGAGTCAGGAGTTTTCATTATTATTTTTTTTTAGTCTTCTGTCTGTATCCTTTCTGTATTTTTTAGTATAGTTTAGTATAGTACTCTTTAATGTCACATAGTATAAAATAGTAAATTGTCCTTCTGAGAACATGGAGTCAGATTCATCATTCCTTCCTTCCATTGTCTGGGGGCAACACAAACACAATAATAGTCAGGTGGCCCTGGGCTCTTTCTCCAGCAGCACTGACACAACCAGAGCACACAGCCTCAAGCTGCACCAAGGAAAGTTCAGGTTGGATATCAGGAGAAAATTTTTCACAGAAAGAGTGAGAAAGTTCTGGAATGGCTGCCCAGGGCGGTGGTGGAGTCCCCATCCCTGGGTGTGTTTAACAAAGCCTGGATGTGGCACTGGGGGCCAGGGTTTGGTTGAGCTGTTGGGGCTGGGTTGGACTCGATGACCTTGAAGGTCTCTTCAAACCCTGAGATTCTGAGATTCTGTGATTCCTCGTTTGACTGAAGGGTGCCATGAAGAGTGGCCATTCCCAGGCCCTCACAGAGCCCACCCAGCTAATGCTGAGTGCCCTGGAACGGGTGACGCTGGCACGGATGGGCTAGGAGGATCCAAGACAAAGGAACAAGACACAGGACACTCATGTGGACACCAAGGAGGCTTTACTCCTCAGTGGGACCAGGGACAAGTGCCAAGGAAAAAGGGTCTGGACAGCTGTTGTGGTGGTTCCAGTTGTGGGTTTCTCTGGGTCTGGATTGAGGCACTTGAGACAGTAGTTCATGTTCACACTCAGGTGTTTATTATTTCTTATCAGTAAAACAGCCTCACTGCTGGGAGTTCAGCAGCTTTTCATTAGCAGGCACAAAATGGCCACAATCTCTTGTTCCAAGGCCTTTTCAGACTAAACTATCCAATTAAGAACTGACACCTGGATTATTTTCCCTTTTAACCCAATCACTGATCCCACAGAGCTGCAATGGGGACTTTTCTGCCCCATTACAAAATGCCACCCAAACCCATGGAGAAGGAGGAAGAAGAAGCATGGAGCAGAAACCCAGGATGACACCCTGTGCCCTCCATCTGCTTCTATCCACAACACACTAAAAACCCCAAAAACCTCAATTTCTCACCCAGTGACACCCCTGCACTGCTCTCTATAATCTATTTCACACTTTTGTGGGTTCCAGTCTATCTTGAAGTCTGGGGAACTTTCTCCATGAATGAGGGTCAGAGTCAGTGCTGCCCTGGGGGCCAGGGCAGCCCAAAACACACACAGAAATATCCCCAGTGCCCTGGGTTTCTGCAACTCTTATAAAGGGAGTGGGTGTAAGGGCTGGAAACACAAAACAACCGGTAAGGGAAAGCAAGGGGAGGAGTACAGCACCTATCACACCCAACAGAACCAATAGGGACCACACAGAGGAGGGAAGAAACCCCTGAGGCAAATCATCTGCTGAACAGGGGACAGATTGACACAGAACTTTCTGGAAGAAGGTAGGGGTGGTCATAGTGACTGACAGGGAAGGTGGGCAGCACAGCTGGCATGGACGTGGACATTTAAGGACATGAGGGGAGGTACAGGGGGATTGTCACCTTGAGGAACAGCAAAGTGGTGGGAAAGGTAGGGAGTAAACAGTTTAGGGGGAAAGCATTCTGAGGGGATGGAATGGGGGGGTACAGAGGATCAAATAATTTCTCTAACTAACTGAGAATAGCTATCTTTTCTAATAGAAACAACAATAAAACTTGTAAAAACACACAATGCCACAGACAGGTACACAGCAGAAATATCAATTAATCCCAAATTAATGCAAATCCCTTCTTTGGGCATCCACCTCCAATTCTAATTAAATGCAACAATGAATGCAACACCAATTCCTTATACAGAAGGAGAAAAAATGAATGCAGCTTCAAGGTCTGAAGAAGGAGCATCTTTGCAGAACACAAGCCCACAAATTTATTACCTTCATTAAAAAGCCTCCCCAAACCTGCCACAGACCCTTTGATTCCACTCAGGCAATCCCATCCACTTCCCAGGGATTACATGGATATGATGAAATTCAGGCCTGGGTCCCTTTAATTGTTCAGATGATTTGTAAGCAGTTTTAATGTACCAGGTGGAAAATCATTCCTGTTTCACTGCCACCACCTAAAAAAGCATTATTTACATGGATGTGAAGCAGGGGTGGGGCACTCAGAGCTTGATTTCCTCCTGATTTGAATCCCAGGCAGTGTTCCCTTTGGGAATGACAGCTGATGGGATTCCAGGGTGCAGCCCAAGGTCATCCAAACACGGTGCTCTGCTCTGAGTGGGATCATCAGGAACCACACAAAGCCAGAACAGAAATTTAATCCACTGCCACAGGCCCAGGGATTCTGGGGAAGAGCACTGGGAATGCTCCTTCCCCTCGAGCTCAAGGACAAACAGCCCTTGTTTGGGAGTGACAGAGTGGGAAGGGAATCTCTTGGCACAGACAGAGTGCAGGGAAAGTGTGTTTATGCTGTGGCTTTGTAAATCTGTGATTTACAAGTAGTTGTTGCAGAGGCAGATGGTTCATTTAATTTGAGACAAGACACTCACCTGCAACTGGAGACAGAGCCACTGCACAACATCCTGTGGATAACCCATTCCCAAAACAACCCTGACCAAACACCAAACCCAGACCTGCACACCAAACCTTGCTTAGAACCTTTATTTTTTTTTTTTTAAATTTTTGATGAAATCACTCCTAATTGAGCACTGATTTCACTTCATTGCAGGATTTCAGACCTGTTTCAGTCCTGAGCAGTCCATGCCTGGGTGTCACCACTCTATTTTTACCCAGCACTGCTCCAGCCCTGCCTCCACAGCCAGCTCAAGGTGACAGCGTGCCCTCCACAGCAGCAGCACCTGAGAGCAGCCCTGGGAGCCCCAGGATTGGCTCTTGCAGGGAACACAGCTCTGGAAGCATCCAGAACATTGTGTTCTTGAAAGAAAGGTTGGTGACTACCTCCAGCCCCCTGCTGGGGAGGGGATTCTGCCCTTTCACCTCACCCTGCTGTGCTCTGTGTCCAGCTCTGGGGTCCAGAGGAGGCCATGGGGATGTTCCAAGGGCTGGAGCCAGGCTGGGAGAGCTGGGAATGTCCCCCTGGACAAGAGAAGGCTCCAGGAAGAACTCAGCCCCTTCCATGGCCTAGGGGGGCTCCAGGAGAGCTGGAGAGGAAGAGGGATAGGACACAGGGAATGGCTTCAAACTGAAAGGGGACTGGGTTAGATGAGACAATGGGAAGAAATTCCCAATTTTCTCTGTAATGGCACAGGTCTCCTAGAGGAGCTGTGGCTGCCCCTGGATCCCCTGGCAGTGCCCAAGGCCAGGCTGGACAGGGCCTGGAGGAGCCTGGGACAGTGGAAGGTGTCCCTGCCATGGCAGGGGTGGGGCTGGATGGGCTTTAAGGTCCCTTTAAAGGTCCCTTCCAACCAGGTGACTCCATGACAAGCTGGTTTGTGCTGCCCTGGTGCAACACTCACTGTTGCAGCTGCCCTGTGCTGGTGCCACTCCCCCCAAGGGCAGGCAGTGCCAGGTTATCCAGGTCACACTGCAGACCTTGCAAACACCAGGAACCCCCTGCCCTCATCCTCCTCACCTCCTGCCAAAGGCAGTGCTTGCACTGAAATCCAGATTCTGTGGAAAAGCCTGGTGGATCAGTCTGCAAGGCACCACATCTGCTGCCCTGGGCTAAGAGCACATTTCCAAAATGCTGAGGGAATGGTCTGGGAATGTGTGTTTGGGAAAGGAGATTCAGCAGAGTGGAGAAGCTCAGTCCACTCCCAGCTTGCTGTGGAGATCTCTTAACTGTTTCTCTTCACCAAGGAGAGGAACTTTTATAGATCTTGAGGAAATGGTGAGACCTCAAATCACTTGGAAATTTCAAAATATTTGCTCCTCCAATGACTATTATGTAAACCCAGAGTCCTGCTGAGGAATAGCTCCCCTATGTAGGTCAAGAAAAGGAAAAGCAACTTCGTGTCTGAGCCTTGCAAGGGACAAAAGTGGATTCTGAAAGTGTATTCTTAATTTTCCTGCCTGTTTCCTTCAAGCAGCACCCCAGATTTCTCAAGATGTAGAGAAAACAGCATTTGCAGATATGTACAAAAGTTTATTTTACAAACAGCAACTACTTTGGAATAACAAAATTGCAAAAACATAGAGCAGCGTTAGAAAACCAGCTCAGGGGGACATTTTCCATCTGCAGCACAATTTAACAGATTTCACTAAGTAAAAATACCCCCAGCCCTTCCCTCAACCCCTCCCCAACCATTCTCTACCTGATGGAATTGCTTTATAAACCTTTGACTAAAGATATGAAAGATTTTAGTGATAGTGCAGTAATTTTTGATAACTACAGTTAATTGTTTGACCATATTTCTATTACCTTTTCCTGGCCTTAAAAAGACAAATCAGATCTGAAATATGATAAAAATCTGATCCTGGAGCAATAGTTTCACTAATAGGTATTGAATACTAATGGTTATATTTGTATATTTTGTAAGACCATGAATCCTCTCGTTCTATTTTCTTAGAAAGGGAAAAAAAACAAATTACAGCTGTACTGAAAATGATGAAACTACAACAAATATCACTGAAATATTTGTTCAGGATTCTGAGATGGCTGCTGCTGTTAGAAACATGTTTGTAAATGTATCCTGACTTGGATATTAACTGTATTTAATGCCAAAAAGCATCAGAAGTTTGCCAAAGGGTGGGAAGGTTGCATACACTCACTTTGTCACTAAACTCTTAAGTGTAGGAAAGGGGCAAGAGCAGAGTTTTGGGTACTTCTAGAAAAGTGAAAAACCTCCATGGCCAATTCAAAATCAGGAATGTGCTGTGGGTGGGCAGAAATGGAGGGAATCATCACCATCTCCCTTTGAACTTGCTTTTCATAAGTGTACCAAAAAAAAAAAAATCAAATTTGGGGGAGCTTAATTCAATCAAAGAGAGGAATTGATGCCTCAGTGAGAAATTACTGCTTTCAATTGTCAGAGCTACTGGGTCCTGATGAGATTAAGAAAAATAATTTCCAATATTTGGAAATGAGCAAATGAAAGCATGTGCAGATATTAGAGAGTCATTAATGGAAACTGTTATGGTACAACAGTGCTCATTAGCTTTAATCAAAGCTCGTTGGTTTTGTCACTACAGACCCCAATTTTCAGGTTGCATTATGCCATTAAAAAATCTGCTTCTCAAAACTCAACTTTCTAAATCCCCTCAGAAACTTTACAGATTGTTTTAAATCAACTGAATCAGAATATTGCAAGAATTACTCAATGGTCTTCAGCTTGAATCTATTTATATTTTTGCAAGCCATTTGCCTGGAACTTAAGAGTAATTTTTGGTACTAAACTTTACTTTGAAGGTATTGCTCATGCTTTTTATGAGGCATCCCAGTATTTCTGTAGTCCTGCTTTAACAAGATATAGTTCAATATCTGCAATATCAGTACCTGATATTCCCTATGGTGAATGGGAGAGAGCTTTTTTTTATAAAGGAGGTTTTATAAAGGAACCTTTATGGCTGGTTTTCTCAAAAAATTATCATCATGTCAGTGTTTGAAAGAGTGCTTTGGACAAACTCATGACACACTCATGGTTTACAACACTCAAAAGGTGTTGAAGGATGCCAAGCACTGTAATAGGAACTGAAAATCAAAGTCAGGAAGTGTTTGGAAACACATTTTTAGTCTCTGAAGGACATTGCTGTTTATCACAAAATTCCTCTTTTAAACATAAAAAGATTAGACAGGTTGGATATTAAGCTCCAAACTCATTCATCACACTTTTGCTCACTGCTTGTCAGTTTGACAATTCCCACTGGGCATCAGCTCACCTTTTCCAGCAGAATTCCAGAACACCACAGCTCAGGAGGGATTAAGACAGAGTGGCAGCCTTTGTTTTCCTCACCTATATCCTGTACAGAATGCAATAATCAACAATCAAGACAGAATGGAAACAGCTTCCAGCAATAAAAAAGCATTTTCATCAACTAGAAATGGCAGCCTTTTTAAGAAATTGACTTCACAGTTTAATAGTTGCTAGCACATCTTTCCTAAGGTGTTTTTGAAGACAGTCCTGACTGCTGCACCCAAAAAGTGGCAGCAGCAATTCACCTAAGTGTGTAATACATGGCTTGGAAAAGCTGATTCAAGGAAAACCAAACTGGGCTTTTTTTATTATTATTATTTTGTAAAAGTTGCATTTGACATAAAAAAAATAAAAAATGACATCAGCTGTTGAGCTCAGTCCTTCTCTCTGTAAGCAGAGTTAAGTTTCAGCTAATTCAGCAAACAACCTTCACTTGTGACACTGTCAGAAGAGTTTTTTTTTGAATGTAACAGTGAAAAAACTCTGGAAGAGAGTTTCCATCCTGAAAGGAACAGCCTCAGCTGTATCTGCTGCTCTCACTGGGGCTCCTGTTGTTGGAGTAGCTGCGATCGCTGTCGCTGTCGGAGCCGTAGGACCTGCAAGGACAGAAAAGATTTAAATGCCCCAAAGCTGCAGTTTGAGCTTCAAATTTAAAATTGCATTATGTTAAAAAATTGTTATAGATAAGAAAACACACCAGTCTTTTAGAGAATTATATTTCTTGTAAGTGAAGGATTCATTAAAGGATACTCAAAATGGAAATAATCATTAAATTCATATGATGAAAACTCTGTGTAACTCAAGTCAAACTGTTTGTCACTTCTTGCTTTCTCTGTTACAGCTAAAAACCATCCAAAATTTATGTTTTTATAAAAGCTAATTGAGCTGAGTGAGAAGTGTACTCTAACAACTGGAATTTTACACTGCAAGTATTTCTCAACTAGCATAATTTCACAAATCCTTGATTTATAAATTTTATTTTCATGTTTGAAGGAGGGTCTTAAAACTTAGGCCCCATAACCACAACAGAGGTGTGTTTGTGTGTCTGCAGTGTGGAAATTGTATTTAAAATGTTTTGGCTCCTCCAGACAAATTCCAAGCTCAGCACCTGGCCAAATGTCAACACAGAGCCCAGATGGTTCCAGACAAGCCACAGGCCACGTTCAAATTACACAGAACAAGCTTTCAGAGATTTTCCAGCCTCCTGCCTGTAAGGGAAGCTTTCTAAGTGAAAGGTGAGCATTTCCTAATCACACACTGAAGCTCCTCAACTTAATAAAGCAATGGTTTTTAAGTTTATTTTCACATTCTTCATTAAAACTCATTAATTTTCCCCCCTCCAACACAAGATGAAAGTTGTCTTGTGCAAATGGGTGAGAGCAAAGTCCATTGAGAGCTGGTATAAAGCTGTGAAAAAATTTATATGAGGAGAGGATGAAATGTACAGTAGTCTTAGAAACCTGATTTATTACTAATAGAAGGCACATTAAAAGGTATAAAACAAATCATCAGTGTAATTAAATGTATCTACAACTCTCCATATCTCTGATCTCTGTGAAATGTGCTCACTTACACTTATATAAATCCCCTGGACTGAGGAGAATAAAATATATTCCAAACTCAGCAGATTTGCAGGTAAAAATATTCTTTCAAAATACATTCTGCAAAGTTAAAAATGAAATCTGGATTCCAGCAAAACTTTTAATTTCCCTTCCAGATTGTTTTAGATCCATTTCTGCAGCATAACCAAAAGGAATTTACCATACAGTGGAATTCTTTGCATACCAGGCAGCTTTTAATCCATAAGAGAGCACTCGAGTTAAGTCTTGTGAGCTATGTGGGTTTTTTAAAACACTTGATATTATTTAAAAATATAATACATCAAATCATGGAATCATTAAGGCTGCCAAAGACCTTTGAGATCACCAAGCTAACCCAGCCCCACTGTGTTCACTATTAAACCATGTCCTCAATGCCATTGCCACAAGTTTTCAACCCTTCCAGGGATGGGGACTTCATTTCTCTGGGAAAAAGTGCTGATTTTGAATGCATGGATAGAATGAACTGGAAAATCAACTTTTCCTTGTCCTGGCTGCTTCCCCATCCTCCTATTTGGAATGTCAAAACTTCCAACTTCCTCGCTCGCATGCGCGCTCTGATTTTAACTGGAATTTAGTCTGAATTATTACTTTTGCTGAGTGTATTTCTTATTCTTATGGGGAAAAAGCAGCACTCTGGCCTTGTTCAACATCCTTTGTTTGTGTCCAGCAAATCCTGGTGCAGCCAGGCAGGATCAGACCCACCTGGATCTCCGGTCGTAGCTCCGAGATCTCCGGTAGCTGTCGCTCCTCTTGCTCCTGCTCCGACTCCTGCTGTAGTAACTGTCATAGGTGTAGGACCTGCTTTAAAGGGGGAAAAAGTAATACTGAATTCATATTTCTGGGCTAAAATGTTGTTTTAAATGCTGCTTTAAAGGATATTTATACAGAGGTATGAGGGCATGTATAGAAATTATGATGTGGCAAACAATTCTATGCTTTATGAAGGTTTCCACACAATAACAATCTTCAAAGTAACAGTAAAAATCTCAAATTTTATTAGGAAGGACATACTAAGCATTTATAAAGCATTGTGCTGTTCCTTTTATTTCTAGTAAAATTCTTGTTTGCTGATACTTCTGAAAGCAAGCCAAGCAATTCCATTTATAACTCAATATTATTTAAAAAAACAAAAGCAAGTGTGTTCACTTCTACTTAGGGCATTACCTACAATGTAATGCCAGGATGGTTTGGTGATTTTCAGCTTTTGAAAGTGTCTTGTGTTCATTTTGCTTTGATTCAAGTTGCCATCATGATATTATAATAATAGTTTTAAGTACTACAGATGCCTGGAAGTGTCCAAGGCCAGGCTGGATGGGGCTTGGAGCACCCAGGTCTAGGGAAGGGTGCCCCTGCCCATGGCAAGGGGTTGGATCATTTTTAAGGTCCTGTCTAACCCAAACCATTCTGGGATTCTATGAGATAAAAGTAATCTTACAAAGTATTTTTATAAATAAATATGTATTTAGATATGCATTTTTATTACAGTATGTATAATAAAATAGGTAGTATGTATGATATATAATAGTTTCATAGACAATAATTATATGATAGTCTCTTTTAAAGAAATGTAAATCAAAGTAGACTTATACTAAGATGATTTGATGGGCAGCACATTTCTTGCAGAGTTTGTACAAAAGCACAATCTGATACCTCAGGTTTCAGCTTTTATGTTTTTCAGATCCTGTGCTGCTTTAGTGTGTGGGTCTGAGCTTCACATCAGGGCATGCTGAGCTCTGTGCACAGAGCAGGGAGACAAAACAATTCCTGCTCCAGCTGGGCACCAAGGACAAATGATCCAAATCTCAGCCCCAGAGCACAAACCCCGTGGGCTGGAGAGAGAAAAACAAGCAGGGTGGGACTGCAGGGGCTAAAGCTGGAATGGGACAATGAACTGCAAGATGCAAATGGAGCAGAACTGATCCCAGGGACAGAGCCCGGGAGCGCTGGTGCATTTTGGGGCCATTTTGGTTCATCTTGGGTGCAGCCCTGGCTGGGCTCTTGTGCTGCCCAAGGTGCATCCATGGAGGCCTTTGAATAAATCCCTGCTTTATTCTTTAGCTCTGTCCAGCCTCTGTTCTAGGTCAGCTTTCACAAGACATCAAATCCATACCTGGATCGACTGTGGTGCCCATAGGAACTGCTCCTGGATCGGCTCCTGCTGTAGCTCCGACTGACAAAATCAACACCACAGAGGGGTTTTTAGTCAACAGAAACCAAGAGTGCTGAAGAGGGCAGGGGGAGAGGGGGAACAAGAGCAGGGGAACATGTTTGGCAGTTTCCAGCTGGGTGAACTCACCTACGGCTCTTGTAACTGTGGTAGGAACTGCTGCGGCTCCTGGAGCGATCTCGGCTGTACCAGCCCCGGCTCCGGCTCCTCGAGTAACTCCTGGACCTACAGCCAAGGACATCAAGAGAGAACACAGCTGAGGAGAAGAGCAGCAGAACATGGGAACCAGAAGAAGTTACAAAACTTTAGTCTTCTAGCTAAATATTTATTCCATACTTGCTAGGTGATATGGCCCCTGAGTTAATCCAAGGGCTGGAGCCCCTCGCCTCAGGAGCCAGGCTGGGAGAGCTGGGAATGTTCCCCTGGAGAGGAGAAGGATCCAGGGAGAGCTCAGAGCCCCTTCCAGGGCCTAAAGGGACTCCAGGAGAGCTGGAGATGAACTTGGGACAAGGGATGGAGGGACAGGACAAGGAGGGCACTTCACACTGGCACAGGGTGCCCAGAGAAGCTGTGGCTGCCCCTGGATCCCTGGAAGTGTCCAAACCCAGGCTGGACAGGACTTGGAGCACCCTGGGATAATGGAAGGTGTCCCTGCCCATGGATGGTCTTTAAGGTCTCTTCCAACCCAAACCATTCTGTTTCTTTTCTAACACAGGGCTGTCAAAACACAAAAAACACAAGCTGAAAAGCATTCCTTGAAAACATCAGAACATTCAGTTTGCCAGGGCTGGCTGTGGGAGCAGCACATGCTTCTCACCTGTATGAATATGTAGAACTTCGGGATCGACTCCTCGAGTGACTGTAGGATATGGACCTGGTTCTGTGCCTGGATTTAGACTCAGATTTACTTCGTGACCTGCTGAGACTCCTGGAAGGGCTGTTGTCATCTCTGCTCGGAGATTCCTCCTCACTGGAACTTTCTTGGTTCCTTGGCCGACGATTTAGCCGGGCTGTTTTCCTCACTTCATCAAAGAGAGACCCAGGCCTTACTTTATTTTTTGCTTTTATTTCAATTCTTAAGCCTGCTGGTTTGGGTTCTGGTGCTGATACTACATTTTTAACCTCCGTGGTCATACTGATTGTTGCTGGTTTTAAGTTACCAACACCTTGCAAAGGCTTCCATTTATTGTCTATCATATTGCTTGGTATATTTTCAGAAATTTCACTTTTTAAACTACAGTCTTTAGCACCAGACACAGGGGTAGAGTTATTTTCTTGCCTTCCCGTTTCTTTTTCTTCTTTACTATTAATGAAGTCCCTTATGTTGTTTCCCAGTTTGACAGCATCTTGCTCAGGGGTCTCAACCTGTAACTCTTTTTTTACACCAGCACTTAAAGGTTTAGCAGTGAGAATGACAGGAGACAAAACATCCACATCCACCTTCCCCGGCGAGTTACGATCCGGAGTACAAATCTCCATGTTGTCATCTGTCTGAATAACATCTTCCAGCCCATTCTGGTTATTTTCTTCAGCTTGTTTAATCTCACTCTTGCAGGCAGCCACGTTTATTCCTGAGTTTAAAATACCAGTTGAAGTGCTTGTTTCAATGGGCTCTTTATTAAGGTTGCTGCAATCTGGCGAGGCCCCACATGTGGTGTTTTTATCTAAAAGGTTTTCATTCATACACGACTTTTCACCATTTCCCATTTTATCTGTGGCTATTTCATCCTTTTCATAAACTTGTTTTTTATCCTTTATGTCCCTGCTAAGCTGCTTTTCTTTTTTATCATCCTTGGTAACCGGCTTTTCATTTATCTCATCATCCTCTTCTTCCCCGAACTCAAGGGGGGGCTGCCAATGAAACATTTCTTTTCTTTTCTGGACTTTGTGTTTTTTCTCCTTTTTACCTTTCGATTTTTCTTTTGCTTTTTTGGAATGTGATTTTTTAGGAGTCTTTTTCAACCCATGTTTGTGTTTTTTCAACTTGCCTCGAGTATCTGCTGAGCTGGAACAAGAACTCTCAGACTCAGAAGACGACAACTGTTTGCTTGTCTTCCACGTGCAGTCAGAACCCAAAAAGCCCTCTGAGGAATTGGATTGTTTTTTTATCCTTTTAGTAACACTAAGCTCTGTGTCAGACCCTGAGGTGGCCTCTCCTTCTTCTTTCCCAGAGGAGGGTCTGGAATCCCCCCTGTTATGCTTTGCCTCTCCTCTTTCAGAGTTGGACTCCGAGTCCCATTTGCTACCTGAGTAGGATTTGCGTTTTGTTTTTGCACCACCTCTGGGCTGCTCTGAGCATTTCTCCTTAGCTGCTTTCTTTTTGGAGTGATCAGAATCCCGCTCACCCTTGCCTTTCTCCTCCCCTCTCTCACAACTTAAGCCATTTTTATCCTGTTTCTCAGCATCCCCTTCCAAAGGAAAGCGGCCTTCTTTTTCTTGGACCGCTTTGGCTTTGGCAGAGCGCTCGCTGTCAGAGGACAAATCTGAGGATGACAAACTGTCACTCTCCTTCAGCCCTTGGGAAGACTCATCGTAGTCTTTTGGATGCTTGTAAGGCAAAGTGCTATCAGAGCTCGTTTCCTGCCTCGGTTTGAGGCCCCGGGCTTTGGGATCGCTGGATGTGGATTTCCTTTTGCTCCTGTGCCTGTCCTCATCGCTGAGGGAATAGTCGGACGTGGACTCGCTGTACCCCGACCTGTCACTGCGGTATTTACTGGGGGACGGTGACCTGCCTGAGGAAGGAGATTTTGTCCTGGAGCTCGATGGGCTTCTAGACCTTGAGTAAGATCTTGAGTAGGAGCGGCTTCGAGAGGATCTGCTCCTGGACCTGGGCCAGCTCTCGGAGCTCCTGTCGCTGCGGCCTTTGGAGTAACCGCTCCGATCGCTCTCGGAGCTCCTCTCCTGCTTGCGATAGGAGGAAGAAGTGTTGGCCTCCTTAACCACCACTAAATTGTAATTAGTTTGGGTGGGAATTAAGTGGGTTGTTTTAGCTTTCATCTCCTGAATTCGCTCATACGATGGCTTCCAAGGTTTCTGCCCGGGTTTCCATCTTGAAGGTGGGGGGCTGTCACTTAAGGGTATGACAGGGAGGTTTTCTGGGACAACTGGTGGCACGATGACCTTGTCACTGGGCAGGATCACAGCTCGGACAGGCTCAGCAGTCTTGGTCAGCTTAGTGTCATTTAACCGTGCTGAAATATTCCGTGGAGAATTGGGAACAGTCTTTTGCTGCCTGGGGTTAGAACTTGACCGTGACCTACTTTGAGATCGTGAAGATTTAGAGGCTGATCTTGATCTAGAACTTCTTCTGGAGTAAGATCTTGATTTAGATCTAGACCTGGATCTGGACCTGTAGTATGATCGAGACCCTCTGCTTGATAAGGATGACAAGCTCTGGTCTTCCTTATCAGATTTAGACCAGTCCCTCCTGGATGAACGCCTGGAAGACAATGAGGAAGAACGAGATTTCCTCTCACGATCACAAGATGATTTTGTCCTCCTGTGGAAGGAATGAGAGGATTCTACATCTGACGAGGCTGATGTTTTCTTTTTCTTCATTTGCTTGTGCTTCTTGAAGTGCTTCTGCTTTTTAGATTTCTTTTTATGTTTCACCTTCTTCTTCTCTTTCCTGTGCTTCTTGTGATGGCTGGAGTATCTCACAGTGCTCAGATCAGCGTAACCGTTATGGGACCAAGACCTGGATCTCCGGGATGCACTTCTCTCATCCCACCTGCTGGTACAGGGGTCACTCAACCTGGAAAACAAACAAAAAAACCCCAGACTAAGTGCAAAAGCTTTAAAAACCCTTATATAAATTAAGTATTTTTAAACTTAATTTTAAATAAGTTTACATAAACCCCAGCACACATTTTATTACCAGAGCATTGCTTTGAGTTCCTTACACTCTTTTTAAGATGAAGAATTGCATCTCTATCAAGAGCTACTTCTCCCTAAGAAATAAATCAGCCAACACAAGCAAGTTTTGCATCTTTTAAGACCTGTGTAAAGAGATTTAAAGTTTTAATTACCTCAGTCTGCAGGACTTTGACCTCTACAAAATAGGATCCTAAAACCATATTTAAATACAAGTTTTAAAACATCTCAGTATATAAAAAAAAATAATCTGAAACATTTGCAATTATGCACTACTAGTTACATATAATATTTTTAAGTTTTCCTTTTAAGATTTATCTCCTGTAATTTGATAGAAGCTCATATTTAGTATCAAGCCATCAGGAATTCTGGAGAGCTGACTTCCATCCATCACACAGTTTGTAACTGCTGAAAGAACATACAACTAAAACAATAAAGGCTTAGTGGATTTGATTGTTTTACTCCAAAGAAACCATATAGTCCACTTGGAGGAGAAGGAAATCACTGAATCCTTAAGGTTGGAAAAGATCTTTAAGATCACCAAGTCCCACCACCTGGTTCAGCACTAAACCATATCCTTAGGTGCCACATCTTCTCTGAACACTTCCAGGGATGGTGGGCTCCACACTTCCCTGAGCAGCATATTTTTTCTGCGAAAAAAAAAAATTCCTAATATCTAATCTATCCCTGGCACAACCTGAGGCTGTTTCCACTCATCCTGATACTGCCATGGTTACATCTACACAAGCAATGAGGCTTCCCAAAGGCCAGGACATCTCAGAGCTGTGGTGGGGAGGCTCTTACTTGTCTCCTTTGCTCCACTTCTCCCCGCTGGGGGCTCGGTACGTCCGCAGCCTCTGCATCTCCTCCTTCCAGTGGGGAGGGGTCTCGCTGCTCTCCTCATCGTCCGACTCGGAGCAGGAGCGCGACCGCGGCGGGGTGTGATAGCGCTGGCACAGCAAACACACACAGCAAGGGTTTCTTACACAGCTGCTGCACCTTTTATGCTTTTTATATAGACTTCTAGGCCTGAGAGAGGCCAGCAGCTCAGGCAGCTTTTGGAAATGTGAAAGGAAGAATCAAGGAGGAGGCCATGGATTCCCTTTTGGAATAACGCAATTATTGCAGATAACCACCCTCGTTTTTAAAGCACAGATGTTTCACTTCAAACTCTTCATGGTTTGTAGGAGCAAAGACAAACCCCACTGCAAAAGTTACTGCTCTTCAGAAATGGGAATCCAGATTAAGTCACTTAAAAGCAATTAAAAAAATAAGAAACTGAACACAAAAAAAAAAATCACAAAAAAACCCTCAAAACTCTTTCACAAAAAAGAGCAATGAAGCTTCACATTAATAAAATTATGCTTAGGCAGAGGATTTAAGTAGGCAACAAGAGCTACTTGTGCAGCAGAGAAAGAAGAACTCTGCTACTGCTAACTCATTATTTTCCATTACCCAGTGGGATACACACTTAGGTAAATTCTGTGAGGAAATCAGATCCTCCTTGACTCAATAAAAGCACATCTGGATTTGACTCAATTATTTTGAGCCACTTATAAATGCAATAAAATGGGGGAAAAAAAGCATTGTCCCCCAGAATAAAGTCACAAAGATGCATGCATTTATTTATCCAGGTAATTGCAGGCAGCTTTAAAACATCCTTCTTATATAAAAAACCAAAATCAAGATAACCTGAGCTTCACTATTGTTTCAGCTGAAGCAATGACTACTTGAAAACCAGCTTTTATAGAAGAATGGCCTAAAAAATTGCAGGGTGTCATGGACCTCCCTAATTTTCACATTTTATACTCCAGAGTCTCGTGGAACCTACAAACAATTATTTTGAAAAACATCACACCTGGACAGAAGCTGTGCTAATAAAGACTATAAGAGATAGAAGAAAAATGTGTTTCTCCAACTGCCAGCCCTAAATGACATCTTTTGCATTCTTAATTTTGCTGAGAGGGTGCCAAAATGATGAAAAAAAAGACAGAAACCCCAATATCTGGCAGAAGCCAATTACTCTCCACTTTAAGTTATTTTTCCCCAAGTCTTTATTTACCTAAGTATTCCCAAACATTCCATTTAGGCATTTTTTTCCTCCAAACAATTTTTAAGTTAAAAGAAGTCACAGGAAGGATGGAAAAGAAGTGTTATAAAATCAACTACCTGACAGGATTTCAATGCTTTCTAAACTGGATCCTACAACATGTAAATAAAGTATCATACAAAGCCCTCCAGGGAAATTCAAAGCTCAAAGTCAGGGATGTTACTCTGAGTGAGAGGAAATAAAGAAATAAATAAAATTGTCACATACTATTGTGCCTCTTCCTTTAATTTTTCGTCCAGATTTAGAGACTGATGGTTTCTGGTCAGTCAGAACTGGTGCAGCATCAAGAAGCTTCCTACATAAATTAATAAAGTATGAAGTTACACAGCAAGAAACACAATTAACTTACAATTAGTTTAAGTTAAAAATGAGAAATATTCATCATCTTATTCATTTTCAGACAGAATTCTGTGGTTTTTTTGAAGAAACAAAGCAAGAGAGTTCTGCAACAAAAGGCAAATCAACATGTATTTGTTTCCAACCAAATGTGCAGCCTGATCTCTTGACACAAAAATTAATGCTAACAATGAACTTGCAAAACACTGTCACAAGAGGTTAAATTTTGTTTGGGGCACAAATCCTGAACATAACATGGGCAGAAGAGTTTCAGGATCTCAGTTCAGGATAGTTGACAGGTTTTAAAGCTTTGCTTCTTTCAGCCCCTGTAATATACCCCAAAGTAGTGAGTAAATCTTTGGGAATGTGAGTGATGTTCCAAGAAAAGGGTTACAGGAAACTGTACCATTAAGGGAATATAAAAACCCAACACCAAACAAACCCAACATTGATTTTAGAGCTAAGCCACTGTAATGGACTAGCTCAGCTACAAAAGCAATGAAATTTGACAGTGGAGGTACAAAAACACATTGAAAGCATCTCGTGAACTTGTGACTTCCTTAGTAGCAAAAGAAGAGCTTTTTCTCTTATTCTCAAACACTGCTAAAGTCATGAAATTCCAGATTGATTCTGAACCAAAGTTTCTTCATCAGTCTAAGAAAGATGAAAAATCACCTCTCCCAATCCCAAGTTCCCCTTGCAATCAAGTATTTCCTGTGGTTTGCATTGCATGATTACTTCTGAAATTATTCATTAATAGTTTTTAATTGAGTTTAACACCCTTAAAGATCAATGAAATCATCTGAAGATCTCACTGAAAACCCTTGGCACAGGTCACAAGGAAAAGAAACTGTAAAAAGGGCAATGAAATGACCACATGCAGCAATTCTGACACTGCAGTCAGCAGCACCAGGAAGAGAATGTTAACAGGAATATTTCATGCACAAATTTCAGCAAGTCAGAATAAAAAGCTCAGAGTTCCTTACGGTTCAGGCTCTACATTGACAACAGGCACATCTCTTCTGAGCAAAAATCTATTTTCAGGCACTGGGGGGATTTCCTCAGGACGTACCACGGGCTTGTCCCGCTTGGTGCTAAGGTCGACTTTGTCTGCGACATCGCTCTTGTCAGAAAGGCTGCCAAGGCAAAGAGCAGGGGGAGAAATCACACTTAGCTGGGAAATCAATCCCTTGGCCAGCTGGGTCCCAAGAGAAGATGCAGCAAACTTAGAGCTGGCTTAACAAGCAAGATGTGTCCAAAACCCATTTTAGACTAAAGGGAGGATGGGCCATTATTACTGGAGAGAAAGTTCAGTTTTTGCCTTACAGCAAATAATTCTGCTTTTCATTTACAACTTGTTGAGAAATATTTTTAAAAGATAATCAAATATATGTACCAAGTTCTGCAATAAGCCTGAACTCTCACTTTTACACAGGTGTGCTGAGCCCTGAATAGTTTTACAAGCTGGAATTGAGTCATTTCAACATCACTCTTGCTTTTATCTACAGAGATCTTCCATTTAATGGAAAACTCAACAGGCTCAACTTTAGGGTTTTTTGTTTGTTAATAAAATCATGCAGCAAAACTTAAAAGCATTTTCATATTTACTGCTTGAGCACTTCATGAAAACAAAGCAGAATTCCCAGATTTTACTGCAATTATTAGATTTTAGAGACCAGTCACCGTCTTTGGCTTGAGGTTCGCTTGCACCTTGAATCCTCCTTCTTCCTCTCCTCCTTCCTTCGTTTCCTGGACTGTTTGGTTTTAGCTCTTCTTTTCCTCTTTTTCCTCCTGCTCCTTTCATTCTCAGCCTCACTCTCAGAGGAGGATTCTGAAGAGCTGGATGCACTGGAAGAGGACTCTGAGGCTTCTGAGTCAGAGCAAACTTTCTTCTTCTTCTCCAAAGCTTGAAGAGATATTTTCAATTGACACTGTGCACATGTGTGTGTGTGTAAAAGCACAAAGCACATCATTTTATAGATGCAGAAATACACAAATGGGCCATTTTAGAAAAGCTCTGTGAACTTTTTCACAATATCAAAGAATCAAAATAAAAATTCATCTGACTGTTCCCAGTCTAAATCCATGTTGGTATTATACAAATATTTTCCAGCAAAGACAAAATACACAGAGAAGCAAAGACCACTTATAGTAAAAATATTAGGTACTTTTAGAAACAATGCACAGATTGCAAATCAAAGATTAAGAATAAATTAGTTGCTGGCCCAGTTGTGTATTTTTTATTTTTAAAACTTGGTTATTTCCTCTTTTCTGCATCCTCACACTTTTACACTAGAGCTCCTCTTGACTTTCTCTAAAGGAGATACATTACCACCTTATCCTAAGGAAAATCAGAAATTAGGTAGAAAATGCAAATTTATAACACTCCACTAATTCACAGAGACTGTCCAAACATATATTTAAGATCATTTATTCTCTATGAATCTTCATGAAAAGGAAAATAAGCTCGACCACATATACTGACTTTACAGAATCTTTAAACCTTTGAGAGTGCACAAAATCCAACTTTAAGAAAAGTGCATTTGTATCTCCCTCTTTCAAAAAAACCCAGAAAAGTAATTTTTGATTCCTTTTTGAGTTTGCCATGTCAACCTCTAACATGAACAGGGGACAAATGTTGAGGGCAGAATTTTTTTTTTTTTTTGCTGTGCTTTGCTCTCCTACACCAAGATTTACATTTTACAGGCTTGCAAGAATTAAGATTCTACATGTCTAGCACAATGATTTTTAGCTGTTGTACTCTCTGAGGACATGAGTGTTGGATTAAGCCCTTTGCTGACCCACTCATTTCTGTTTAAACTTCTGATACATCATCACCTATCTTATTTTTCAATTCTCAATGACTACAGTCCCTCCTGTTCTGGGGGAAATCCCCAAGCTCCCAGGGTCACACTGGTACAATTCTATTGATTCAACTCCAGCAGACCTTGGGTTCTTCCCTATTTGCTTCAAGAGGGGACAAGGCACCCTGAGACCCATGAAGAACAAAAGGAACTCTGTCATTGGGAAGCTCCCATACCTTCTTGGTGATGTCTCACATGCAGCTCCTCACAGCACTGACTCCTTCCTCACAGCACACCCAACCATCTCCAACTCCTCTCAGCCCCCTGACCCACTGTTTTATAGCACTCAACCTCACTGGACACAGCTGTGGCCTGTTAAGGGCAGGCCTGTCCCTAATCTTTGGTAATCAGTACAGCTGCAGCTCCTCAGGGGCCAGATCACCTTCTGCACTATCTCTATTTTCTTGCATTCTATCCCCACTCTGTCATTGAGCAGGTTCTGCAGCACAGCAAGAAGAGAGATCAGGAACAGCTCCTGGGAGGGGGGTGTTGGATTAAACCCTTTTCTGACCCAGAGCTGGGGCAACTGAGAGGTGCTTTAAAGACTTTTATTCCATTTTCATTCTCATGTGAAGGATGAGACAATACAGAGGTTATAATTTATGTTATTATAATTACAAGCTAACTATTATTTAATTATAATAGATAAGTGTTTCTTGTCCTATCAGCTTTAGCCACACCATGCTGAAAATGCCTTAAAGCCAATCATCTAAAATTACCCCTCATGGGTCTCACTCCAATGCACCTTTCCTGTTCTATTTCCCCAAAGTACCCAGTCCTATTTGCAAGGCCACCCTTTGAAGTTTGTTTCTGGCTCCATTTCTCCCTCAGCAATGTCTGTCCTATTCCATGGCATTTCTAAATCAGCATTTCTCATCTCAAAGTTTACACCCAGATGCACACACAGTGTGAGCCTTCTGTCAGGCTTGGAGAATTCCCTACAAATCCATTTCCCAGAGATGAACACGATGAATTTTGGGAATGTTGAGTGAACTCCTGGGAACTCACCCTCCTTGGCCGAGCTGGTGAGCAGCACCCCGCAGTCAATGACTCGCACGTCTGCGTAGGGCCTGCTGGCCGTGTCGGTTTTGAGATTTTCTATCTGTTCTATGACTTCAAAGCCAGAAATAACCAGCCCAAAGACAACGTGCACACTGCAGAAAGGAAGTAGTTACAAAGTACAAAACGTCTATGAATCATTGTGGTGATTTTCCAATTAATTCCACATTTCAAAAGTCACTCTGAGATAGAAACATTGAGCTCTTAACGCATTAAATAAGATTTTTTAATGATTTTAAGTTGAACGTTGACAACAATGCTAAGATTTTTATGCAATGTGAAACAAAGATCCAGTCTGACATCAAGTACTTCCCTCAAACTGAAGCAGTCTCATCTCCTCAACAAGAGCAGGGTAAACAGATTAAAATTCCTAACCCACCCTTCTATTTTTGCAGTTTTGTGCAATAGAGATCAAGAGCCCATCTATAAACATGACAGAACTCCTCCCCAGAGAAGCAGAATTTATAGATCTCTACAAACCCAGGATACAATTCCCCTCTGGCATTGCAGGGACAGTTAAAATAAAGGAATCCTTGGTTTTGTTTTGTGGTACCACATTTCTCTTCCTGTCTTCCATTTGCCCCATAAATTTTAGGGATAAAAACAAGCCCCAAAAGAGATGACTGCTCAAATATATTAAGTTTGGCAATTCAAGTCCCAAATTTATGGGCTGAGGGCAGCAAGCAGTTTTAAAGAAATAATCCTAGGATTTAAGACAATTCAAGTTTTTGTCCAGATTTAGGAAAAAAGTTGCAACTTGAAATTTTTATAGAACTGAAACTTTTGTTTTCTATCTCATCCCATTGTATAATTTCCACAGAGTTAAGGATTTGTTTCCCCATTGTTGTCTACTTTCAATATAACCCTCAAACTTCAGCAATCATTTGAGAAATAAGAAAGGATTCTTACCCATCGAGATGAGGAGCAGGTTTTGTTGTTCTGTTGGACAAACAGCAAGATGGGAAGATGGTAAAATAAAATAAAATCAGGGATTCAGATGAAGTAAAAGAGGAGAATGACACAGAAAAAAAAAAAAAAAGAGGTGAAGGTAAGACAAAAATAGTGAAAAAACACAGTTAAATATATGGAATTAACAAATTAAAATTACAGATTATACACACAGGCTTTCTTAAACTTTTACATGGTGTTTGTCTGAAGTTTAGCTAAGTGTGCATACTGAAAGCTGTACCAAGTATCATTTCATGCATGCAGTAAACGATTTCCAAGTGTCTTTAAATACACATTTAATGTAACTTTATGATTTTTAGAGAGAAGATACAATTTGGTGATAAATATTAGGTGACCAGTGGGATTTAAATGTTTCTGAGCTTGTTAGCTTCTTAGATTGCAAGGTCACTTTAAAGAGAGTTTATTTTAAAAAAGAAGAGTTATGATATGTGAGAGATTCTCTGCTTTCCCTCACCTCCCACCACTTCTTTCTCACTCCCCATTTACCTGCTTGGCCTCCTGACTCAGAATACAAGGCAATATTTGTGTCTTAAATCATCAAACACTTCAGCTCAAACCCTCACAGGCTTCCCAAAATCAACAGCAGACATTCTGTGCCACCTACACTTCACTGATAAATGCAGATTTCCTCTCTATTTTTCAGCTTCTCACATTGAGCCTGAATGGAAAATGCAACTGCTTTTTCTACAAATCTTTTAGATTCTAATGCTGTGAATCCTTTTCTAAAAGCAAACTAAAGTTACTTCTCCAAGTGAGCCTGAATTCCTGCTGCACAGGGGATCCTGCTTTGCAGGGATATTGAGTAAAGAACATCAGAGCCTGCTCAAATATTGGGGAGAAATAAAATAGAAATCACTTCCCAAAACATTCTCTCTCTCTCTCTCCTCCCAAGCACTATCGTGCTTTTAAAGCCTTCTTCCAATGAATTCCCTGCTCTCAAAATAAATAATCAATCACAGGTGATTGTTCTAGATTTACAATAACACAGATTTAGTATGAAGTTTTTCACTGCTAGAATAAAATATTACTTCTTAAACACTTCTCTTCCCTTGAGTTTTGAACTACTAGGTCACAAAACCCTGCAGTGCTGAACACATCCCAAAAGGTGGAACTGTCAATCAGGAGTGTTTACACTCTTGATTTTTTTATTTTTTTTTTTTAAGCTCCAAATGTCAACCAGCCCACCCACTTCCTTAATACTGAATAATACAGAAAGCTTCTTTGGGTTAACACAGGGGAAGAAATGCTATTAACACAACATTAAATTTCTCAATAGCAGTAGGTGTTCTTTGATTTTTCCTTGCTAACACAGCATATTGCTACAAAAAGAAAAATCCTTATGGCTTTTGAAGCTCTTAAAGCAAGAGTTAACTGCATTAACAACCTGCTGCTAAGCAAACAGTTGGAGTGGCTTTAATTATGAAGCTGATTTAAAGGGGTGAAAAAACCAGAAGTGGGTTACTTCAATGAAACCAAATAGTAGTGAAGACTGAGGGTTTAGAATTAGCTGGAAACAGCAAGAAGCTCAAAACCAGGGCTGGGGAGGCTGCAGGTGCTCCTGCCATGCTGCAGCAGCATTGGAGACGAATTAAGCAAATTACCTAAGCAGGAGCTGCCTTTGCACTGGTGCTTACTGAGCAGAGGAAGGGGTGCTTGGTGCATTAAACCCATGCAGAGGCTGCCCCACTCCCCTGGCAGTCAGAGGTAAAATAAACAGGGTTTTGTCCTTGTTCACCAAGAGAGAACTGCAGGAGAAGCTTTGTCCCACAGGGAAACCTTTCAGATGCACCACAAGGACTTGGGTGACTGAGTAACTTCCCATGGAAAACAGAGCCCCAAATCCTTGTGGTGCCTTTGAAAGTTTTCTCACCTCAGTGTCAGGGCTGTAATCTGACATTTATTCTGCAAAGGTGCACTTTAAAAAAGCATTCCAAGGTTTTCTGCATCAATCCTTGCATATTTGCTTTGGCTTCAGAACTTAACCAGGAGCAAACCTACCTCCTGTCTTGGCACTAGAGAAACCTAAAGCCATGATGAGTTCATCCCCCCAAAATAATACTTTATTAGAACATTTCTATATAGAGCTCTCACCATTTAAACCATTCAAAATCTGCCTTTTAATAGACACTGTTATGCAGGTTATTTACAGAAGGACAAATACCTTTCTTCACTCAGGTTTAAATTGGTTTAGGATACTGCTGAAGAGAAAATCATCTTTTTGATAAGAGCACGTTCTTACCCACCCCCCCAAAGAACCTCAGGCCTAAGAAAGGGTTCAATGCACATAACAATATGATCAGAAAAACAAGAAAGAGAAAAACAGAAAGAAAAGGACACAGCCTTAGAGGAATGAGACATTACCTTTGGAGCGCACGATGTAACACTGTTTCTGTAAATTTTACACAAAAATGGCAGAAATAAATTGTAATACATTTTCAGACAAAACTGAGTCTATGTTTTATTAAATACAAGTTTAAAATTATTATTAATCAAGTTGTATGCAGAAAAAGGATGCCTAAAAGAGGGCTCTAAATTTTCTTTAGAATACACTTTGAAAGCTAAAGTTCTCCTTAAAAACAAAAAGAAAACTGGAGACAAAACCTGCTTGCAAAACTACTGCAAAAACAAACAGTTAGAAAGAGAATGCCCCCACTCCCCTCTGAGTCTCAATCCAGCAAAAAATGCCCAACTTGAAGCAGATGAATAAGCAACTTCTGTGGGTTTATTCACATGCTTGCAGCTGCACAGGGCTTCAGAGGTTCTGCTGAATCCATTGCCAAGCAGGGACTCCCCAGGCTGGCACACAAATGTTTGGATTCACAGAGGAAACGTGTACAGCCAGGAGTTCCCAACTTCAGCCAGTTCACAGTTAGCTAACATCCTCCTCCTACTAGGAAACTTCTCTACAAGTAAGAAAAATCAGTGTTTTCTCTAAAATATCTGCATTGATTGCTTCTGCTCAGAATTTTAGAACAAAAACCACATTGCAGGTGCAAAAAAGCCCAAAGAGGTGCAGCAGCTGATAGTGGATTTTACCCTGCTGTAATTCTGAGCAGCAGCAGCAATGTTTGAAAACTGAATTATCAGCTGAGCTCATCCCCAGCCCTCCCACCACCCCCAACAAACTATCAGTGATTCATTATCTCTTTGTTATTGATGGCACATTCAAGTATCCTGGGAATGTTTTCGTTTTTCCATAAACTTCTGATCAAGCCAATGGGACCTGCTTGTGTGAGAAGTGCATGTATACCCATAATGCTCAAAGATAATGCAACATCAGCCCCTTCCAGCTGACATTTTTTCATTTTTGTATTAGTCAATAATTAGCTCAAAAGGTATTTCATTCACAACAACAACAACAACAAAGGAAATTATTAACTGTTGATTAGAAAAATACCTACTTTTGGACACCAAAACGATATGAACTACTTTTAATGAGCTGGTAACATTCAGAAATAATTTGTAAAAATCAAAACAAGAGTCTTCCCAAATTATTTTATCCTTCATTTAGCAGATCAAAGTGGTTCCTTTGTTTCAGTTTATGAACTGGGCATGGCACCACACATGAAAACGTTTTTAAACCATAAAATCCTATTTAGTTCTGAGCAAAAAAGCAGAGCTTGAGAGACACATTAAACCAACAACACCCTCAATAAGGAAAAAAAAAAATCTGTCAGTAATAGGAAATCAGACTCAAGTTTTAAATAGCTGTGGAACAGAGAGGCAAGAACTCCAAGCATTTGAACTGATAAGGAACAGAATCCAGGACTCCTCTTTAGGTTGCACTAAGGGCTTATTCCTCACCACACTACACAGCTGAACTATAATGAAATAATTATGACAGAAACTTCCCTCTTTTCACAAAGAGGTTACTTTGTTTTGCCTCCTATTGTTGCTTTACTCTTCCTTCAGCAGGGGCACCTGTGGTTTGTTCCAAATGTAGCTTGGCAGATTTGGTGTGAGGGGAAACAGAGCTGAGCAGTGGGAGGATCAGGAGTCATTAATGCTCCTTTATTTCCTCATTTTCACCAGAACTGCACAATTCTGTACTGGGAATTCCTTCCTGGCAGGTGGGCCACAGGAATGATGGAATGGCTCTGAAGAGACAAGATATTTCCAGGAAAAAAAGAGAAGGGAGCACATGGCTCCAGAACATCACCCAGAGGAATGAATGCAGGCACTGAGCTGGAAATGCAGAACAGCCCTGGGATCTGCTCTGTCTGTGCTCACCCAGGGACTGCTGCTGATGCTGGCAGCAGCAATTCAAAGCACCTACTGCAGATACAGAAAAAGAAAAGATGGTGCTGGAGTGGTTCCTGCCAATCTCTGCCACATCCTAGGGATTCCTAGCTTGGGATGGAAACAGGACAGTTCCAGATTGACATCCCCACGTAGGTTTAGAACGCTTGTAAAATCACTGAGGGTTCTACAGGAAGTTATTAAAACAAAATAAATCAGACTGGGGCTCCCTGAACACACACAGAGTCAATTTCTGACCTGGTGCCTTTACAACTCTCTCCAACACAAGCCTGCAATGAACTCCTACAAAGCTCTGGGTAAAGAAACTGAAATTGCAGAGTTTTACAAATCTAGAGGGATTCTCTCTGGATCCTTTCTGCTGAACTGCAAAAAGCTGTGTTCCTCCAGAGCAGGAAATGTTTCTCAGGCACATGAGAACAGACTTGGCCTATTTACAGAACATGTGCATGGAACTCTCAATCCTCCCTCAGCTACACTTTCTCCTTCCCACCCAACTGTTGCTTCTACTCAATTAAGGGGAAAAAAAAAAAAAAGGGAGGAAAATAGTCTACAAGCACTAAACCCAGCACTTCTGATACTGCACAGACACATTTCTGACTCCTTGCATCTCTGCACTGTGCCACTCTCCAGCACAATTGGATTGCAGTCCATGCTTTTCCCTGAAGCCTCCCAACATCCCTTCCACTGCCTTTTCCATGCCCAGCTCTCACTGCTGCCCATAAATCCTCCAAGCTCTTTCATGCCAGAGAAATTCCTGACTCCTCCAAGAAAGCTGGTGATTTCTTAGGATGGTTTACAGTAAAATGGGTCTGGAGATTCTGTTTCAAGTAAAACTGTCCACTTGAAATCAACTTTTAGCAATTGCAGTCTTGTGCCTGGTTTGCTGGTGCAATATGCCAAAGAGACATTTGCTGCCTGATTACTTCCTTGAAGATTCATTACTCCAAATACAACTTTTCTCTGGAGAGCAGAGAATTCTGATGAATTAACAGAACTCTTATAGTCAGGATCCTTGTTATTATTTTAGCCCTACTTAGACAAACTGTTATAGAAAGGAAAATCAATTTTTTGCACTCCTTATCTGCCACATTAGATGTGTATAAGATACAGAGCTCTCATTCCTGAAAACAAATGCAGAGCTCTAAAGAAGCTCAGATGAACTATCTCCCTTTCTATAAATTTAATCAATGAAATTAAATAGATACAAATATTAGAAAAAAATAATAACCTGAAGGCTACCACTGAATATTGCCTTTCACACACTTTTCAGGTTAAACATTTGAAGAATACTTTACCTAATGATAAACTACAGAGAAACTGAGCATTACTGGGAGTATAAAAAACACATTTTAATTTCAGCTTAAAGTGTCAAGAAGAAAATATTTTATTAAAGAAAAGCTCTATAGATGCACTACACATTCCCTAAAGTAATCAGACAAATGGCACCCAGCAAGACTAACTGCTTTAATAAACTGCATTTTGCACAAACTGCCTGGATACAACCTGCAGGAGCTGCTTCCCACTTGGAATCCTGATTCTCTTCCCTGGCTCCAGGACAGGCTGGTGCCTTTTCAGACATCACAGACCCCAGAAATCTGCATGGGAAGGCAAAAGCTCCAGAGCATCCTCATCCTGAAGGCCACAGAGGACACCCCAGGAGCCTAAAGCTAAGCCTAAGCAGGGCTAAATCCAGCTCTGGATTCCTGCAGGCAGCTCAGGTGAATCCAGCTCTCATGGAAGTTTGTAGTCTCTTACTCTGCCTCAATTCCCACTGAACTCACACTTTTTCAAGTGATTCCATGAAAAAATCCAGAATTTTTCAAGGAATCTGCATCTTTCAGAAAACTCCTATATTTGATCAAAGTGCTTTTTAAATAATCTTCATTTATTGGCCTGTATTAGTTATAATTTAGTATCCAACACAACCTTGGGTTGTTTTGGTGTGTGGGGAGAGAAAAGGTGTTAAAATCTGATTGAACAAGCTGAGCCTACCAAGCATCAGGGAAAGAAGATGACTTTGGAATCAAATGCAGGAGAGAAAAGAAACTTTAGAGCCCTCAAATGACAGCTGCTTGACTGATGTGACATCATTAGCTTTTCATGTTCAATGTTCAGATAAGCTTAAAAATGGAAAATGAAGGCAAGAGAACCCAAAGGCAAGTCATCAAGTGAAAAATAATGAAGCAATGCCTTCAGAGAGCTTATTAAGGCATGGAGTTTTATTTATATCAACTGTTTTCAATATTAATGTGCACACATATCCTTTCAGATTTATTGTAATGAAGCACAACATGTAAAATTTCCTTTGAAGGGAACAGAAAACAAGCTTTTGAAACAATTTTATCTCTATGAAATGTCTAAACAGTGCTAAGTGTGAGACTTTCTTTTAGGTTCCTATGCATCTTCCATTTTCAGGACATTTTTTAGGAAAAGACCTAAAAATGTTTCTTATCTGAACTACATCATATCATACTGAAGATCTTTTTCAAGCAAAGAAAAAAAACCCAAGATTTTTGAGGACAATTTACTCCTTTACTGAAGCCAGGGAAGCGCCATTCATTCTTATCCCCCAAGAAAGATGGCAAAGAAAAAAAGACTTTTTCTAGTTAAGTAACTATGCTAAAATTTACTTTTCAAACCCCAGTGTTGTTTCCCAAAGTATGTCCAGACTAAAGTTATCAACCTGCTCTTTCCAAATTCAAACTGGTAAACATTAACAGGAGGCAATTTTGAAAAGGGACTTAACAAAAGGAATAATCACATCAAAGTTTGCAAGCTTAAAAAACCTGACACTGAACCTAAAATACACTTGCTTTGACCTGGAAACCCTCAATTATCAGCCCTAAGTGTTTTACTTATGAGTAAAGCTAAAAGTGTTTTCTGTAGTTTCTAGAATTTAACAGAATGTGGCTACTAGAATGGCATTTTTTAAAGGTAATGAAGGAAAAACCTGGTTATCAGCACATAATTCTACATAGTGTTGGTATATGCACAAGTTAACAGAGTTAGGATGTATTTAAAAATCATGTCAGGAACAAATACTCAAAAAAATTAATAATAGTAATTTAGAGTTTCTAGAATTTAACAGAATGTGGCTACTAGAATGGCATTTTTTAAAGGTAATGAAGGAAAAATCTGGTTATCAGCACATAATTCTACATAGTGTTGGTATATGCACAAGTTAACAGAGTTAGGATGTATTTAAAAATTATGTCAGGAACAAATACTCCAAAAAATTAATAATAGTAATCACAATTACCAAATCAAAATCCCCACTCATTCTCCTCCTGAAAAAAAACCAACAAACAAAACAGCTCCCCAAAAGCAAATCAGAAATCATCATTTTTTCAAGAGCAAAACCATACAAACCACCTGTAGACCTCACTCCCCCTCACATACAATGCTCACCACTGTCATTTGCAGATAATCTGATGAGATTTGTGCACCCACAAAGCAAAGAATCTATTCCTGGCTCCTATAAATCATATTTTTAGGGCAAAAAGCCACAAAGGACAAACATCCATGGAGCACCAGCTTTAATCTAAACGAATGCCACAAGGAAATCTTGATCTCTACCAATTCCTGGAGCAGGTGCCACTCCTTCCTAGCCAGGATCAGGAATGGAGAACATGGATATGGATAATTTAGCAATACCATCTTTCTCATGAACAGCGCTTCTCTGTGTAAGAAAAGCTCCAGTGTGGGATCACTTCTACTCACATGAAAAATTGGGAACCATTGGTATGTTTCCCTCGGTTTGCCATTGACAAAAGGAACGCTCTGTCATGTTTGAGAATAAAGTTTTCATCTGTTTGAAGAAAAAATATGTTTGTCAGATTTTCCCTGGCAAGGGAGACAGGTTGTTTTCTTAGTAACTTATGGATGCTCTAAGGAGAAATTCTGCTGCTGCTGGAGAAACGGGAACAGGGTGGAGGAAAAACAACAATCAGGTTTAAACAAGTCTCTTCAAATTACAGTTGAGACAAAAGTTTCTTTCTTAAAATGGTGCAGATATAGTGCAAACATTTCTCATTTAAAAGAATTCATGATGAGTGTCTTCAATAAATATTAGATCATGGATTTATATCCTGAGTTATTTGGGTAAGAACAAGGTTGGCACAATTATTGACATTCTAAAGCAGGAATTAACATACATGATGCTGTTATTGACACTCCAGGTGGAAAGGTCAGGAGAAAAAGCTGATTATTTGCCTGGTATGGCACACTAAAAATGCCACCTCTACACTCAAAATTGGAAGTCTCAAAGCAGAGAAGGGAAAAAAACTCTCTATATCTGAATCTAAGTATAAAAGCTACTAAAAATAAACTGAACATGCATTTTATAGTGCAGTGAATTAAAGAGGAGTTCTGGTTGTACAGCAGAATATAAAACCAGATCTTCTCCAGGTCATTTCCAAAGATAAAAACACCAATTTGAATGTACAAAACTATTAATTTTTAGATCACATGTCAAAACACAATCCTGCATATTTAGCACTCGCCATGAGAAACAAACCCTGAGTAACTTCTTGGTAAATGGATCTGTTCAAGCCTTTCCTTGACTACAAACTTCAATAGTCCCATATCAAACTCTGTCTGTTTTTTAAGAGAAACTTAGTTTCATGCATCTAACCACACACAGAACCTGTAAACAGAACTTATTTACACCACAGAGGCTGTAAATAAGTATATTCACTGTCTTGACACTTGAATATCACAGCAACCACCTGTTTTTTTATAGAAATAATTGTATGTCTTTAAACAAATAATTTAAAACCTCACCATTTTCCTTCCAACAGATTTTTACAAGAGGTAATTGTACATTGATTTATCAATGCTTTGCAAGGAAAATGACTTGTGTAGCATATAAATAAAGGCAGAAATGAACCCTAAGCATACAAACCTTGAGTAGGGAAGGGGAGGAAAAGGGACATTAACAAAAGAAGAAATCACTGTTCAGAGCTGGAATTATGTGGATTTTCTCTCAGAATAAGTCATTAACCCTCAGAAAGGTTAGACACAGAACTCTTTATTTCTCCAAGCAACACAGATATCCATCTACAAAGGGACTTAGCAGTTGTCTATATATTTACTAGGGAGGGGACAAGGGAACAGAGTTTGAATTTGTGTTACTGAGCTTTTGTCTCTTACCTTTTCATTTTGCAAAAGACCACATTCTCTATAAACAAAAGAATATGTTGACAGTTTTAGGCAGGAAGATAGGAGTTTATTCATGAATAAAGTTGCCTAGCCTCCATGCTGAAAGTCATGTTTAACCAATTATGTTAGCCTTAATTAATTGTCATTTTAAGTTAAATATTAACAAAAAATTATCTGAAAGTCATGCATATAAAAGGAATTCTCATGCAACATTAGTTTCATGCAAAAAGGTGATCTATGAGTGAACCTGTTTTCATTAAGTAGTTTGGGAATCAAGACTTGTTTATCTCAGGACTGAACAGAGAATCTGCAAAGACATATTTGCTCTTACCTTTGAAATAGCCACCATAAATAGATTCACCTCCTTTTCCATTACCTACAGATTTAAAAAGCAGCAATTAAAATTTTTTTGTTGAAAACTTTTTGTTTCACTTATACAAAAGTTGTGCATAACATTCCACCAGCACTTGACTCTTAAAATAGGAGATTCCCTCCTCAGGCTCTTTAGGTCAGGACACAGTGAAAAGAGACATTTTGGTAAGGATAGGTATTTCAGGAAAGGAACAAACAATCCAGGAAAACTCCTTCTGGAGATGTTTCTAGCTCATTCAATGCTTTATTATCAATTTTAAACTTATTCAAACAGTTATATTCCTGTACCAACAGAACATCACCAGGGCTGCCTCTACTGCAGACCCAGAAGTGCAAAGCAGTTCAGACTAGAGTTTGCATTTGAATTGTTTTAATAAGATAGAATATCACAAAACCCTCCTCCAGTGAGGAGTTTTTAACACACTTCTCTAAAAAAATATTACATCAGTTGAAACATTTGAGACCTTCCAAAATTAACAATAAAATGGGTGATCTATGCTCTACCTTACACAAATGAAGTATTTTTATGGCACTCTAATACTTTCATGGTATTTTCTAAAGTTATGAAGACATAAATGCTAACATTTCTGTTCCATTTCAAATTTGGCAGTTTGAAAAGCCCATTTTACCTTCACTGAAGTCCCCCCCCTGAATCATGAAGTTTTTAACCACACGATGGAAGGTGGTGCCTTTGTAGCACAGCTTCTTCCCAGTTGTTTTGCCAATTCCTTTTTCACCTGCAAGAAGGGGAAACAAAACCAATCTACAGATTGTCACTGAACCAATTCCAAGGGTTTCCCTCCCTGGTTCTAAGGGATATGGCAGCCACAACTAAAAGATAACACAGTCCTACCTGCTGCCTTTTCACCATCCAGAAGGGGGATTTTTACAAGGGAACTCTGAGGTTAAAATTAAGTTGTTTCTTTAAAAAATTTCCCTTTCCCCCTCAAGAAGAAGTGTGTAAATCTACTCAGGGTAATTTATAAAAAAAAACAAGAGTTCAGGATAATGGTGGGTTAGCTATTTTCTGTGGGTACAGCTACACCCCTGTGCAGGTCACAGTATCCTTATCAAACCACTCACACATCTGGATGTGCCAGATAATTCCCAGGAGAAAAGCCAGGAAAACAGATTTCAACTCAGCTTCAATGTGATCCACACTTGGAAAAGTGGGACTGAGCTACTCCAAGCTTCCACACCTTCCCCAATCCTTGCACAGTGTCTGGCCACCCCTTTACAGCAGCTGCAGATCAGGTGGGCTGGTGATTTTTCAGTTGGTGAAAAATCACCACCCAACCTCGAGTTTCATTTGCACTTCTTCCAAAATTCAGAAGAGAAGCTGCCCTGGGCTCATGGATGAATGACAACAACTGGCAGGGCTGACATTCAAGGCAGTAGGTTCATGAGGGATTTATGCTGGGCAAGAGGCACTGACTGGAGCTTCCCAGAGTGGGGGAGCTGGCAGAATGTGCCAATTAACAGTTAAAAGTAATAATAATAATAATAATATATACTGTGCAACAGTTAAAACCCCACATTATCCACATGTGCAGGGACTGAGCTCCTCCAAGCTTCCACACCTTCCCCAATCCTTGCACAGTGTCTGGCCACCCTTTTACAGCAGCTGCAGATCAGGTGGGCTGGTGATTTTTCATTAGTGGTCCCACAACCTCAAGTTTCATTTGCACTTCTTCCAAAATTCAGAAGAGAAGCTGCCCTGGGCTCATGGATGAGGTGACAATGACTGGCAGGGTGAGGCTCTAGGGGCAGTAGGTCCATGAGGGATTTATGCTCAAGAGGCACTGACTGGAGCTTCCCAGAGGGGGGAAGCTGGCAGAATGTGCCAATTAACAATAAAAGATTATAATAATAATAATAATAATAATAATATTGTACACTGTGCAACAGTTCAAGCCCCATATTATCCACATATACAGGAGATGCAGTGTACTGAAACATGAATTAACAGAATAAATAACAGGTCAAATAAGCCAATGTTGATTGTCATCACTGGTTATGGAATAGGAATTTGACACACATAGGTAAGAGGACATTTCACCAAATATTCTGCACTCTAGAAATGCAGATACACTCATTACCCAGAGCCAACACTCCCCTGCTGCATTCTATTACTCTGCCACCCCAATCATCCCAAATTTGCCATTCCAAGCCCATCACTGCCAGGGCAAAGGGCACTGCTGTTTATCATCCCTCCCTCATGGAATACATATTTATTAGTTATTTACCTGCCTCTCCACACCCATAATCCCAATCCACACCTCCTCCTACCCCATTTTTGATTTCCACATGAGTTATGCAAGCCAAGCTGTTTATGACAGGGATGGACACACTCCTCCCCTCTTTGTACAGCACTGAAAACCTTCACCCAACACCACCATGGAATATCTGCCTGCATGTTTGCTCATGTCTCAGGGGGTCCCTCAGGGCTATGGAAAATCCCCTCAGAGATGGGATCCTGCATGGCACTTGAGCTGGAGCAGTTACAGTCCTGTGCCAACAGAACATCACCAGGGCTGCCTCTGCTGCAGACCCAGTTCAGACTAGAGCTTGCATTTGAATTGTTTTAATAAGATGGAATACCATCAAACCCTCCAGTGAGGAGTTTTTACACACTTTTCTTAACAAATGTTACATCAGTTGAAACATTTTAGACCTTCAAAAATTAACAATGAAATGGGTGATCTATGCTATATTTCATATAAATGAAGTATTTTTATGGCACTCTAATACTTTCGTGGTATTTTCTGAAGTTATATATTATGAATACATAAATAACATTTCTGTTCCTTTTAAAGCTTAAAATTAAAATTCTTAAACAAAGCTGGTGGTGAGATGGGAGCTTTGGCTGTGGCCATAAATCCCAGTCCCTTTTCTTACCCCCTTTAGAGTACTGCCAGTGCTTTCCCAGTCAGGTAAAAGACACAGGAGTTGTTCCAGTGGGTTAACCCTAACCCTGCAGCACCTCCCTGAGCTCAGACACTTCCACACAACATCCAACACACAGCTCCTGAGCTCAGCTTCTCCTCTCTTTCAGGCCAAACACCAGCCTTGCTCTTTTTGTCTAGACATGCATGGATTTTGTCAGGAAAAGAAAAATCATTGTCTTTGAGCCCCATCCTTCCTAAGCAGCTCTTTCCAGGCCCTGCAAAGCCCTTGGAAATGGGATGGCAGAGGAGAATTGGCTGCCCTGGTAGCACCTGGAGGGCAGCTCAGTGTGAACTGGGTGCCAAGTGGTGCCAGTTTGAGACCAGAAGGGAATCAGCTCCTTACAAAGCACCACAGCAGATGGGCCCAGCTTTGTTCCATAGGTGGGCAGCATTGCAAGGCCAGCTGCTGGAATTTAAAAAGGACATTTCCAGGGGCCAAATCTACTTCTGACAGCAATGCCAGCATCACTCTGTCCTCCTCCATCTGCCAGAAATACCCTGGCTTGATGATGGCTTTCTGCAGATTCTATGCTCCAAAATGGGACAGCATCACCTCTCCATTAGAATTTACCTCCTCAGGTGGGAACAGGCCTTGCAGATGGCTGTGCTTTGTACTTGGATAAACAAATAATTATTAACAATAAAAATCATTATCAGTTAAAAGCCCACTACCAATAAAAGCCCAATATTTATTATCAATTTTAAACTTATTCAAACAGTTACATTCCTGTACCAACAGAACATCACCAGTGTTGCCTCTACTGCAGACCCAGAAGTGAAAAGCAAATGTATGCTCCCAAATGTGTGGAATCTTTGAAAAAGACATTATTAATAAAGAAAAAATTGGTATCTCTGCAGGTTGTAAAATAATCCATAGAAGCCTCACTGTTGGGCAGAAAATGGAAGAAGACATTCATAATTATCAATAAAATCACTATCAATATAACTATTAACATTTAAAATGTTATTTATTAACAATAAAAATCTGAAATATCAGCTACATACCCGAGCACAAGCAAAGGAAGTTCTTACAAGTCTTTGGACAAATGTCTGAGAAGAGCTGAAACATAATTCGACCAACTAGAAAATAATTAAAAAAAAAAATTAAGAGTTTTAGAACTGTCTGGAATAAGAAAATCTGCATATAAATCAATCAGAATGTTCTAAAATTGTAATTTTCTGAAAAAGGGTTATTTTATCAAGTAGAATAAGAAAACATCTGAAGTATGCATATATTAAAACACACAGCAAGAAAGAATAACAGAATAGTAAAAAATAGACAATAAGTAATAACATTCCATCCAATTTATCAGAAAACCTAGGGATTCCATTGTGATTTCAACCTGGAAAGCCAAGCTGATTTACTAAAATAGTTTAATCATGTCAGATCTTTTCCATTTGGAAAATGATTTCCCATAAATGCAGCTCCTCAGAGAGCTGGAGCAATTCCCTCCCCAATTACTGTGTTTATACAAATACATTAATAATCACATTTGCACAGTTTTCCCTGTGATCATTACCTACAAAGTCCAACTGGCTTGGCTCCATTTTATGCTGAGGATTACAGCTGCATTGGCACTCTTGGCCTAAAATCCTTCAGTTTAAAAAAAACCCAGATGAATCAAACAGGGAAGATGAAAGGCAGGCAGGACTAATGCTCCACTTGCCAGCTATTATGAACTAAATATTTTCTCTTTGCTACTGGTGGTAATTGTGTTATGTGCCTTCCAAATCTATTAAAATACTGCTGAAAAGTGGTGGAATATAAAGAAAACTGTTTTAAAACTGATTTCTATTTTCTATTTTATTTTACAAGATAGTGGGATAGTAAAGTACTAAAAAAAATCCATGACAAACTGCTCCCAAATGTAAGAAATCTTTAAAAAATACATAATTAATAAAGAAAAAATGGGTATCTCTGCAGGTTGTAAAATAATCCATAGCAGCCTCACTGTTGGGCAGAATTACAAGGAGACCAGCAATAATCTATCAATGAGCACTACACTCTAGTGGTGCACACTGGTAAGACTTCATTTTAAAAAGTAACTACTCCAATAATAACTTCTCTTTATTTTCCTTTAAAGAAAAAAAAAAAGTTCAAATGTATTTCATTCAATACTTAAAAAAATAAATTGAGAGGCTCCTAAGAAACTGCATTCAATTTTAAGGCTCTGTCCAAATATATGCAATTATAAGATGGTGAATTGTTGGTTCAGAAAGGAGGAAATAAAATAACAGCATCAGTACTTGATAATCTTAGATAAAAACTCCAGATGCCTCGAGCTGTTGAAAGGTCTGAATCTCATTAACTGCAGGAAGAATGTTCTCTAAGCATTCATCACCACAGCAGGAAAATCCAAAGGAAATGGGTAGGGAGAGTGTCCAAAGAATGAAGAAATGGAGAATATTCAAAGATCCCCCATCAATCAGGAGCTCTGTAACTACCACTATGACAGAAAGGCTGTAAGTGGAGAAACCATTCTCAACTGTGAGGACTGCACATTCCTACCAGGAACACAACAGCCAGTTCAGGAGAAGAGTTCCCAATTTTCATTCTAGCCCAGGAATTCAGCAGAACACAAATCTCACTGCCATTCCCTGCTGCACAAGCACTGAGCTGAGCAGGGACCCAGAGCTTCACAGAGCCACGTGCAGGCGGCACAGAGCCATGGGAGAGAAGCCACAAGGGCTTGGGTTGGAAGGGACTGGAAACTTCACCCAGCCCCAGCTCTACTGCCACAGGCAGGGACACCTCAACTGCCCAGGGACACCTCCAGGGACACCTCCAGGGACACCTCAACTGCCCAGGGACACCTCCAGGGACACCTCCACTGGCCCAGGGACACCTCCAGGGACACCTTCCACTGGCCCAGGGACACCTCCAGGGACACCTCCACTGGCCCAGGCTGCTCCAGGGACACTTCCAGGAACACTTCCACTGTCCCAGGCTCCAGGGACACCTCCAGGGACACTTCCACCGTCCCAGGCTGCTCCAGGGACATCTCCAGGGACACCTTCCACTGGCCCAGGCTCCAGGGACACCTCCACTGTCCCCAGCTGCTCCAGGGACACTTCCACTGCCCCAGGCTGCTCCAGGGACACCTCCAGGGACACCTTCCACTGTCCCAGCTTGCTCCAGGGACACCTTCCACTGGCCCAGCTTGCTCCAGGGACACTTCCACTGGCCCAGCTTGCTCCAGGGACACTTCCACTGGCCCAGGCTGCTCCAGGGACACCTTCCACTGTCCCAGCTTGCTCCAGGGACACTTCCACTGGCCCAGCTTGCTCCAGGGACACCTTCCACCGTCCCAGGCTGCTCCAGGGACACCTCCAGGGACACCTCCACTGGCCCAGGCTGCTCCAGGGACACCTCCAGGGACACCTCCAGGGACACCTCCCACTGGCCCAGGCTGCTCCAGGGACACCTCCAGGGACACTTCCACTGCCCCAGGCTGCTCCAGGGACACCTTCCACCGTCCCAACTTGCTCCCAGCCCTGTCCAGCCTGGCCTTGGACACTTGCAGGAATTCAAAGGCAGCCACAGCTTCTCTGGGCACCCTGTGCCAGGGCCTCAGCACCCTCCCAGGGAACAATTTCTATTTAATATCTCATATAAACCCATCCTCCTTCAGTTTGACACCTTGTCCCATTGCTCCTTGCCCACGTGAGTCCCTCTCCAGCTCTCCTGGAGCCCCTCTAAGTCTCCTGAAGAGACTCTAAGGTGTCCCTGGAGCCTTCTCTTCTGCAGGCTGAACAGCCCCAACTCTGTCTCTGCAGGAGAAGGCTCCTCCTGCATTCACTGTGTGAAATAACACACGGCACTTTCCAGGGAAAAAGCTGTCACCACCCCCATTGTGCTCCCAGCCCAGCTGCTGCACCACCAAGGTGCCAGCTGCCAAGGAACTCAGGAGGGCTCTTAGTCCCTGCAGGCTCCAGAAGGGACTTGTGCTCTGAGGCATAAATTGTAGAAGGATTTTGCTGCAAAGCCACCACATTTAGCACCTGAGGCAGCAGACAGCAGCACCGTGGTGCTCCATTGGAAGAACTCTCTTGTGTTCCTGCAGATGACAAGGCAGAAGATGGAAGGAGACATTCCTAACTAAGGGATCACTTCCAGCAGTATTTTTCACCAGTGCTTGGTCAATAACAAAGTCTGCCAGGTGCTCATAAAATCACAGAATGATTCCTGCTGGAAGGGACCTTAAATCATCCAGTTCCATGTGCAGGGACACCTTCCACTAGATCAGGTTACTCCATGCCTATCCAGCCTGATCCTTTAATCCTACAAACTGTAATGCACATCTATCCAAGCTGCAGAGATGACAGATGCACTTTGTAAGATGAGGGCTGTATAAAACCTGGAGCACTGCTTACCCAGCTCCATGCAGCCACACAAAATGCTGCTGTCTGCTCCTGAGACACAAACCACACACTGGGAATCCATCTGCTGGGTTACTGCCTGCATTTTACTGCAACTGCATGAATACCATTATCACTGAGAGGTTGTGTTTTCCACTGACAAACAGGCAATGAAATGTGCCAGAGAAAGATCAAACCCATTTTCACACCTTGGTCAAAGATGCAGGAAAGAACAGCTGCTAATCAAAAAAATAATAGAAGTATGTATGATTAGCACCTACAAATCTTTCTCTTGCCTCATCCCTCATCAAAAAAAAAAAAAAAGAGAAAAATCTCATTTTAAACTTGGAACTGAGGTACATGCTGATATAACACAGATAAAAAAAGCATTTGAGATACTACTTATTTCCCCAGATTTAGACACCTCTCCTCTGAGATGATCCACCTGCACTGCAGACAATTTCCAATGCTCTCTTCAGCTTCATTTCCCCAATATAAAGGTTAAGTGATCTGATCAGGGAACAAGCTCTCTGTGACTAACCATAATATTTGTACAGTAAATTGAAATAAACAAACAAAAATTGCTACAAATCACTCAAGTAAGCAACAGCAGCTCACAAACCTACCCAGAGTCCTCAGTTGGCTTTAAGCAAGAAATGACAGCACAGACACCTCAACTCCAGGCTGAAGTCAGAACTGCTGGGATTGCATTTGCCTATTATTTATGAAACAATAATCTGATAAAAGTATTATTTGTAAGCAGGCTTTGAACTTATTTTTTAAAGAATCAGAGTAAGTGGTGAAAGAAATAGGTACATCATTCAAGTGATGCCTACATAAAATCTAAGCTGTTTGGAAATTTGATGAAGTGCTCTCTGCAGCTAATGAGCCAATTAGGGAAACCACAAAGAAAAATGACCAAAAATAATCCAATTTCAGAACTCTGGCTTCAAACTAAAAGAGGATTTTTTTTCTTTTGTTTTTGAACTCCTTAATTTCCCAGCTGAGGAAGAGCTAGTACTTGATTCTAATTAATCAGGGTAGCAATGCCCATGCTATACTGCAATAAGGGCTCCTGCTGGCAAAGTTTATTAAAATAATCATTGATTTCAAATGTTTATTGTTTCAAAGGTAAATCCTCGAATTCAGCTGCTTAACCTTTTGGAAAAACACCTTTGGAGGCAAACACACATTGTTTCAAGTTATTTTCCAAGTACTGGGAAGTGTTTTGCTACGTTTTATTATGTTTGAGGCACACAGGCATCGAGTTCAGCTACACACTCCCAAAACAAACCTGGGGTTTTCAAAACTGTATCTACTGGATTTTCTCTTTTCTCAATTTCTTAAGAGTAAAGCAAACAAGAGGAATTTTTCCCAGCCTATCAGCAGGAATATCCTGCTGAAGGAGAAAGCAGGGATTACAAGCAGTGAGACAATGATGCACAGCCCAGGATGGCTGCCAAGGGCCCAAAGGCTCAGCCAGATTTGCATACAAGTTTGAATAGCAGCTCACTAAAAGGACCCTATTTGAATTGTATTAATTTGTTTATCCCTAAAACTGCCAATGCTAAGGCATAGGGATTTTTTTAAAAACTTCTTCAAAGTAGAAATGTGGAGTTTTCAAGGAAATAAAACCTCAGTGTGGAACAATGATGGATTTGATTTAAAATATGAGTTTGAAGAATGGATGCCCCAATTGCCCTGCAGGGACCTGCAGCCCTGGCACGTTAACACTTTGTTAACACCTCCATGCCTCACCTGCACTCTTTGCAAGGAAAAGCTCCATAAACTTCTCTCCCTGGCTCTCTAAGCCCATTCTTCCACAAACACCACCTGAAGTTCCCTCCATTCTCCACAAAACCAAACTTATTTCAGTCCTGCACACATCAAACCTTCCCTGGGCTCAGCTTCCCAGGGATATGGAAGTGAGAGGCAGCACTTGGCCTTCTGGAGAAGAGGCTGATCAGTTTTTCTTTTATTTACTGATCCAACTTGTTCCAGACCTCAAGGTGAGATTTCAGGGTGTTTCAGCCTGCCCTGACAACAATTTCACATGGTTATTCTGAATAAATTGTTTTGTTGAATCAATTCCTTTCAAATTTCCATTTCCCACTCCTGAGAAGGGTTTTCTCCATATGGGATCCCCTTGGCTCCCTGCTGTCCCACACACAGTGGTTGCCCATGGGTTCATGGACAGCCCAAGTTCTGGGTTCTATTTGCTGCACATTTTTCCCTTCTAAAGACTAAAAGTTAACGTGGAGCCAGCTGAGAACAGTTTCTGTCATTAGGAATTTAACAAAAACCCCACAAGGCATCATTGGGTCTATTACTGGAGGCACAAGAGAATGACTATTGCAAGGGTGCTCCTTGTACATAAATTCACAGAAAATCCAAAATACATCAGGCTAAAGTGACTAGAAAGAGAGAAGGGAAGAGCAGACTGACTGTTCTGGGAAGGGACACATCCCAGCAATGAAAGAAACTGAAGTGGAACAAATCAATGAGCCAGGGGTCAAACAGAAACAGAAGAAAAAAAAAAAAAAGATAAATTATTCTATGAATAAGAATGAAACCAAACAAAACTGATGAAATTTATCAAACTTCATGATGGATGAAACCAGCCAGGGGGTGAGGGAGAGATGTGGGAAAAAGCTTTTGGATGGCCACAGGAGCTGCCAGAGCTGCAGACTGCATCTGTGACATCCTAGTGGGACATCTGTTCCCATTACCACGGCACCTGAAAGGCTCCAGCTTCACACAGATTTGCCTCACAGAGTAAAGACAGAATTATTTAAATAGGCATCTGCTGCCATCCCCAAATTCTTGGAATACTGGAAGCAGTTAATGCTGTGTGCACACTCAATGTGCCCAAACCCACTGGTGGGGGGCCCAAAAGAAAGGAGAAGCACTATTTGTGGCAGTATCAGAAAAAATGCTTCTTCCTGATTTGGTTTCCATTTGCCCTTTAAAAATTAAGAGCCACAACCTGCATTCATTAAAAAAAAAATGCTGAACAGGCTACTTAATTTAAAAGCAGACTAAATTTAGCTCTAAAAACCACCAAGCCAACAAAGTTTGCCCCACTGTAAGAGGCAAGTACAAGCTGGCACTGAGTTTTATTCCAAGGTTCTGTAGCTGTAATAAAATAAGGACACAAAAGCTGTAATAAAGCTTCTGGAAGCACAGCCAAAACAGAGCTGCACTCCTGCATTTTCCAAGGGATCTTATTAGAGTAAAACTGACCTGACTTTTAATTGCCACAGGTATCCTGGCACACCCTGGGCAAGCAAAGCCTGCAAGGGCAGAGCCAAGGTGTGTGGGGGGAATGCTTTTGGACTGGCAGCAGCCTAGAGTGTAAAAAAGGAGCCAGTTTTGTGTTCTGCAGGCAAAAAGATGCTTCCAGTGCTGCAAGAGGCACAGCCCCTTCTCTCTGCATCTTGTGGGGATGTTGGTTCAGCTTGTCAGTGCACACAAGGTGGGACAAGGCCTTTTTTCTTGGCTAGCAACAAAATGCAGGGCTGTTCTGCTGCCCACTTCTCCTGAAATGCAATAAGCATATCAGCTGATTTATTGAAGTCAAAATAAGCAAAATGTTCATTTGGAAATCTGCTGGCAGTGTAAAAGTTCAAATGAATACCTCACTAGTGCCAGCAGGAGAGCACATCCCTGAGAGTTAGTGCTTGGTGTCATCTGGAAGCACTGATTTACCACTTGATTCAGCTTTTGAAGGTCATCTTAAAGCTAAGAGAGCAACATTTAAGCTTTTTAAATATATCCTTAAATCCTGAGCCAGAGTTGCATGGTGAATTAATAAACAGGCACCAGAATAAAGCAGCATGACCAGACAGCACACAAGCCCCAACACTAATATTACAAACTGGCATTTTTCCTGCAAAAATCCAAGCCATGAGTCAGGTGTAATGCAACCAGCAGGGCTCCAAGTTTGATGTGCAGCTGGGAGATTCCTGTTACTTCCAAAAGAAAAGAAATGCAGACAGACACAAAGAGAGCCAAAGCCCTGGGTCTGCTCCAGGTAACCCAAGCTCTGCACCACCAGGAACACCAACGCTGCAATTCCTCCCTGACAGCTCTATCAGTCACCAAACCCAAAGAGGTTGGGGGGAAAACAGGTAATCCACTTTCACTGGGGATGAACAGCTCAAGGCTGAGGAGGGGAGATTGTGAAATGGGAGCAGCAACCTGTGCAGGGAGAGCAGAGAGAACAGCACAGGGAGAGATCCTTCAGATGGAGTCAGAACAAAAAAAATAACAAACAAACAAACCCACACTAAACCTAAAAAGATGAACAGCAAATGAGATTGAGAATGAATTGTCTTTGCTCTAAATCAACCCCATCAAATTACCATTCCTAAGGGGAAACCCGCCCAACCTGAAACAGTGTCAGTTGTCTCACTCCATAGTAAATTCCACCTGAAATTAAAGCAACGGAACACGTTAGAACTCCATTTACATCATCACTTATCTCCTCACTGGAAGTACTCAGAAACCACAGTGCCAATCAAAATAACTCAGAGAGGAGTTGCAACAGCAACAGATTTATAGATATGCCCTATCAGGTCTCTGAAGTTAGAACAGAGCCTCTCTTCTGAAACTGTGGTGAAAACAAAACGCTAAAAGGGTTTCAGTTGCATCTGAATGAGGCTGAAATTTAGAATCTCTGAGATATAGGCTCTTAATTCAAAGGTTTTCAGAGAAACATTGAAGCAGAAAATGAAAGTGAAAGCCTAATGAAGCCATCACATACATTCATTTTTCTAGAGACAAGTGGTAGCAAGATAAAGCACGGAGTATGTGTGAGACAACTAATATGCATTGATAAATGCTCGTTCAAAGAGATGGGTGAGCAAATCTCCACTCCCATCTTTACAGAGAGGGGGAAAACACAGGAGGGAACCAGGCTGCTGTTCAGCATTAAAACTCACAGCCTACTGCTTCTGAGCACCACACTTGTATAGGGAAAATATGAGTTAAAAGATGGATTTATTTTAATTATTGGTTTTTGTTTTGTTTTTTTTTTTTAACAGGCCAGCTGGTGAGGTGTTCTGTGCTTCTATGATTGAATGCCCAGTTCTTCCTTTACATTCAGAAGACGCATTTTGAGCAGGACAAGGAAAGATTTAGCCCAGATGACCTCTTTAAGTTCCTCCCCAGTTCTAATTACTGCATCATTAAAAATACTTATAGGAGTAAATATCCAGTCTCCTCACAGCCTGCCCCGATTTTCCACAGTTCACAGAAGTGGCATAACAAACATGTAATAGAAAAGGTATAATACATCACCAGACGGCTTTTTACCTTCAGAGCAGCGTTTATCAGCCCTGCCGAACCTTTATATTCACGCGTGCAAATAAAAATCGGTCTCAAGGGGCAATGAGGAGCATCCAGCACCCCAGAAAACAGCCGAAGTTATTAAAAAGTAACTCAGAAATAACGCATCAATGGCCAAACTCGCTGCTAGCGGCTTGGGCCCATAATGCAGGCAAACCCGTGATTTAAAAGCCCCGAACACAGCCTTACCTGGCTCCCTGTTGATCTCTATCTCGAAGAAGCACTGGGGCCGGTCCTGCACCCCCATGGCCGCCCCTCGGCCTCGCCACCTGGACACAAAGCACAGAAGGAGCCCCCGCAGTCCCTCCCTCCGTCCGTCCCTCCCTCCTCACCCAGGGCTTCAATTACAGCGGGGCGGCTCCGCCTCAGCCCCGACCCCGGCGGCGGGGGAAACTCGCTCTGAGGGGAAGCGGTTCCTGCCGCGAACGCGCAGCCGGGCTCGGCGCCGTCAGCGCGGCCCATCCCCTCCTCCTCTTCCTCCTCCTCCCAGCCGTTTCCCAGCCCGCCCCATCGCTCCCTTCTCCCGGGGTTTTACCTGGCGGCTCCGGCGCTTTGTCCCCTCACGGCGCGGCCCCCTCAGCCCCCGCTGCCTCCCCGCCCCGCCGCCAGGCGGCGCCGCCGCCCCCCCCGGCCGCCATTACCCGCCCGGCCTCAATGGCCGCGCCAGGCCACGCCCCCTGGCCGCCCTGCCCGCCGCGCTTTCCCGCCCTCTGCGTGAGGGGCCGGGGGGCGGTGCCGTGAGGGAAGGCGTGAGCGGTGTCCCCCGTGCCGCCTTTGAAATGACGAATGTTTAAATAATAATAATAATAGTAGTGTGAAAAATAAATTCAGCTCTTAAGTCATGCTTTGCTGGGGTGGGTGGGAAAGGGAGTGGCGCCATGAGGGGAAGGGGGCTTCGCTCCCTGCTAGACATGGCGTGACCGAGCTTCTCCGCTGCCGCGTTTAAAACGATGAATGTTAAAAAAAATAAATTAAAAAATCCAACTCTTAACTCATGCTTTCCCTCCATGGGAAGTGTAATTGCCTGTAAGTGAGTTTGAATCTTGGAAATAGCGGCTCGAATTCCCTCCGGTGTTTTCCCCTGGCTGTAGAAATGGGAGTGGGAATTTGCTTGCCCACCTCTTTGAATGCTGCTCGGGGAGGAGGAAGGGCCTTTACAGAATACATAACGAGAATAAATAGCATCATAAATGACCTTTGCAGAATAAATATAGCGAATAAATAAAAATAAATAACTTTTACAGCATAAATAACCCCCTATGGTGGGGGTATCTCACTGTCCTGACCCCTCACCCTTATGGCCGTGCTGAGGGACCCCCCCCTCCAGTTCCTTCACCCCATTTAATTTGACGTGTCTAAGACAACTCTCCACGAAAGAAAAAATATTTTTGTGAGTATAAATAAGCCCTCAGAAGATTATGGATGGAAAATGATTGCTGCAATGAATTCCTGATTCCCCCTCAGGATGAGAACGTGGCTGCTGCCAGCCCGGGGTCATCCTGCCTCTTGCTCAGCCTGAGTCTTAAAAACTCCAAAAAATTTAAACCAAATACATTTTAATGATTGCAGCAGGCCATAGGTTATTTATTCTGCGTTGCAGATGTTGGACCATGCTGGAGTGTGGAAGCGGTAACGAGAAATTGAAGCGTCAAACTGTTGAGGAAGGAGTGTTAAAACTGTAAATCCTCAGCTCAACACATCCTTCAGGCAAAATTACTTCACACCAAGGATATCCAGAAGCTTAAACCACTTCAGTTTATTAATTTAATTTCTATAAATCCTCTTGTAGTACTTGTAGTAACTCCAGAAAGAAGTTTTGTTTCTTTTTAAGCAGGAAGGACATTTAGTCCTCAGCACTCAAAAAACAAATTATTTCCAATGTTTCCCAAAAGTTGTACAAACCAGAACTCTGCAGTAATTTTACCTGGCAGCAGTATCTGCAATTATGTCCTTGTCTGAGGAGAAATTCAGAGGTTTTAGATGAAAAAAAAAAACCCTGCTGAGAATAAAGCAGCAAAGTAGCAATGCTGAAATCACAGGATGTTTTAGCAGTTGAGAATGCAGCAAAGTGGGATTGTTTTAGATGTAATTTATCTATAGTCTAATGGTGGCTGTCACGATAGTGTTTGAGGATCTCTGGAAGTTTTAACAGCCAGATTCTGTCATTCTTTATTAGGTCTAATAATACATGATTGTGCAAGTGGTCCCTCAGGAATCCTGTCACTGGAGTTGTCACGCTGGTTTGCTGGTCCTTGGGGGGGGACACTTACAGGGTAAGCTGTCAAAAAATGAGAAAAAAAAAAGTGAAAAAAAAAGGAATTAGTCTGGTCCTCAATTATTTGTAGTAGAAGGGTGTTATTTGCCTCGCTTTTCCACGGTAGCTGAGAAACAAAGCTACTGAGAGGTTGAATTGCAGGAGGTCTGCAGGAATTCCTTGCCAGAATTAAAATTTGAAACCACATCTCCTTGATTTCCTTAATCTTCAAATAGATTCTTGATTCCCTGTCACCTGCAGTTTCTTGCTTTTCTGTCCTCATGAATGAACTAGCTAGAGGCAGGTGAGCAAATAGAGCAAATAAATAAGCAAAAAGTCTCAAAAAAGACATGGAAATGTGCTGCTTGCTCATGATGAAAATAGCAAAGATTGTGAGCAATAAAAAAAAAAAAGAAGCTGATTTCAAGCCCTGATTATTTTAATAAAAAAGCAAATTGGAAAGAAGTTCTGATCACTTGGGAGCTAAGCTCCTAAGATCATGTCTAGGACAGAGCTGATAAATATGCAGTTGGTGAAAGGAAGAGATACCCAAAAGAAGAGTTTCTGAAGCACATCTGAAGCTGATCTTTTGAAAGATGAAACACTGAGTTACAAATGAAGATTTTTTTCCCTCGTGTTCCTCTCTGGGAGCTGCTGCAGATGCTGCTCTGGTCACATCCTGTGTCCATTGAAAGCAGTGACAAAGTGCCCTTTGATGGCAGTGGCTCTGGGTGTAGGCTGTGTGAGGGGCATCACACTCAGCACAGTCATGAATAATTGCTTCTGTGTCATTCTAATTTTTGATAAGCCATAAGTTTGTGAAACACCCTCCTAAAATTTCCTGATTATTTATTTTCCAGTCCAAGACACGACTTCTGAGCACACCAAGATCCATGGATCCAACTTGCTCTCCTATCTCAAATTGACTTTAGAGATTTCTTGGTGGTACAATTCATGTCTAAGAATGCACATTGACAAATCTTGGCTGGAAGCTGCATTCTTGCCTGAGACAGAGCCCTCTTGATCTGGGAGGTTGCAAAGTAGGAGGCTGCAAAGCTACAGAGCCTGCAGGCACTTTGGGGTAAAACTGCTTGAACTGGGGCACACACTTTCATTTCCAAACAGTCTTTGATTGCCTTAATAGCTATTAGTCTCCATGTGGCCATGAAAATTTGAACTAAGCAGCTTTTGTTTAGGTATTTGTAGAGGCTTTTCCTTATCTTTTTTTTTTTTTTTTTGCAAATTCCATGGGTGGAACCTGAGACTGCACTGGGAAATGAGTTTTTTTCCTGAGCAACAAGTTGTTGGTAGAGGGCCTAGTGCCTGAAAAACCTCTGCTCTACTCCTCGGTGCTGGGTATTTTCCTACCTTTCTTCAGGCCTTGAAACCCACATTTCATCTGAGTTGCTGCAGGGTGATCTCTACTTCCACAACTTTCCTGGTACCTACATGCCTGCATTAGTATGAGTTCTCCCCAAATAATATTACAAAAATATGTCCATTTTGTTACTCAAGGAGGAGAAGGAATTGCCAGCAAAGCTTTTCATTATCTGGGTCATTTGGGTTTGGGGGCTGGTGCTCAGAATACTTTGGTGAGACAAATTTATGGCTGCTTGTTCAAAATCTCACTCTTCACTGTTCCATGCAGATTCTGCTCCAAGAGGGGGATGCAAAGTGTTGACACCAGGAAAAGAACTGACTCAGAGCTGTTCATGGGGGTCACTGAGGCTTTGAGCATTCAAAGATTAAAAAAGAGCTGGAAAATTGTACATTTAAATGTTAAAAACTTGTTACTGAAGAACAGACGAGCACCTGGAGTGTTCCCTTCAGTCAGTCAGTCATGCCAAGCCATTTTTTTGGTGTTTGTTACTAAAAGTAAATATTGCAGTCCAGAATAACTGAAAAGGGGCTTTAATTATGCCAAGCCTCAGTGCTGAGTACACTTGAAATTAAAAGTGAAAGGCTGGTAGGCAGTTTATCTGTTGAACAAACGGGAACAGCAAAAAGGGGCTTCATTAAAAAAATCCCCAGGTCAGCATTTGAGTTTAGAGAGCTAAAGGGGAGGAAATAGCACATCTCAAGCAAAGCTTTTATCCCAGGACATTTCCTGGGAAGGAGCATTGGTGTGGGGACACACTTGGACAGGGTACAGGGGTATCTGTGACCTCAGACATCCCAAGGCTGCCTGTGGTTCTCTTCACTCAGGCTTCCCTTTCCCCTGGGATTTCCTGTGAACCCACTTAGTACCTGAACCACTAACACACTTCCTGAAGGATTACTGAGCATCCCCCCATGCTGCCCTGAAGCTTCAGGAGTGTTTCCATCCCTGGCATGAGTAGGTGGCCCCATCTGCTATCCAGGCAGTAAACAGAATTTGTTAATGACTGCCCCAGCGTGATAGAAATATCAGCAACTCGTTAATCCATTATGTGTGAATTGCTTAATGGGGCAGGGAATATTCCTGTGCTTGTGGCTTCTTCAGGCCTTGAAATCCACATTTTATCCCAGCTGCTGCAGGGTGATCTCCACCTCCACGACCTTCCTGTCTACCTACATGCTTATTTGCTCTTCTGCCTGCATTAGTAGGAGCTCTTCCTAAATAATTTTACAAAAATATCTCAATTTTTAAAATATTCTACTGGGTGTAGATAAAGGGGTTGATGATTTTACATCTCCTTAACTAATAAATAACTGATGTCTGGGTCGGTGTCTTGAGAATGTCTCAAGATAACACTCAGCCGGATCCCAACCCCAAAGTGATTATTCCTTTTTTTTTCATTTTCTTCAGGGTGTTATAATTCAGAATTTTGAAAAAGAACTCCCACCCTGATGTCTTGCTAGCACTCAAAGCTATTCTTTATGCAAAGGCAGAAGTGTATTACCTCATATCAGACACGATTTACCCACTCAGTAGCACTCAAACTAGGTCAAAAACAAGAGGTTGGTTTCTGCAGTGTATAATTAACCAGTGAATTTGGGAGACTGGGGAGGTTAATGATGCCATGTCTGGTTC